TATATATATATATCTCTCTCTCTCTGTATATATATATATATATATATATATATATATATATATATATATATATATATATAGATATATATATATATATATATATATATATAGATATATATATATATATATATATATATGTGTGTGTGTGTGTGTGTGTGTTTTTTCTGGCTCACATTCTTCTCTATGCAAAAAACTAATAATAATATTATAATAATAATAATAATAATAATAATAATAATAATAATAATAATAATAAATATTGCCAACTTGAATTAATTATATGATGGAGAAAGACACGAAGTTTGTTCTGAAGTTCCACATAACTTGTATCAGAGAAAGACCTTGTTGACTTATGAAATCCCCTTCTTACCCCGGCCCCCTTTGAAAAGTCAGAATGTATTAAGACCTAATTAATATATTTGTCCCTAAAAAAAAAAAAAAAAAAAAAAGATAATATATGTACCCAAAAGTTTTTATGCAACCTACGGCCCATTAAAGTTTTGGGTCGGCCTGCTAAGTAGTGAACTTTATACACTGTCTTCATTCTGAAAGTCAACTTCCAAAATCAACATGAATGTTTTGACTTTTTACGACTTTGAGTGAAATCAAGACAGAGAGACCTTTAGGAATTGCATTACACTTCAACCATCGACCAAAGCTAAGCACGGTTATCGAAAATTACACCGAATTGGTTTTTTATCGTTGATTTACACACATAAATGTGAATGTGTGTGTTTGTGTATAGATGAATGGTAAAGATATACCTGATGTATTTCACAGTACAATATAAACCACCTAAACACCGAATCCACCAAATCTGATTTCAAAATTCAAGCCGATTCATTTGGCTTACAGTCAGGGGCGAGTCCACCATCAATTTATAAATTTCCCCATACATTATACCTATACATCCGTTTAGTTCATTCAATTTTTAGTAATTAGCCCACCCAAAATATAAATTTATGCAAAAAAATCATTTTTTATTATTGGTCCACCAAAAATTAAAATTAATAAAGAAAGAAACTCTTAAATTTTTTTTATTAAGTTTACTTTTCCTAGTTTCTGTTTTTACACCACAAAAATACTTGTTGTTATTATTAAAAGACCAAGACCATGTCGATTCCTCTTTTTTTTTTTTTTTATCTTTTGCCTTCTTAACTTTTCTTTCTTTATTGCTTGCGTTTTCACTTCATCATCTTGGTCAAGTTAGGAAAAGCGACGACTTTTTGTTAAAATAAATAAATATAAAAAAAAAAAAAAAAATCACAAGTGGCCCTATCTTATTCCCTAGTTGAGGCAAACAGAATATTCTCACAACCTAGTATAAATTGGAGCTGCATCAAACATATCATATACTCGCAAGACAAAACACATCTCATTTTCCTCGGATTCTCTTACTTTAATTTGGTCTCTAGCTCTGTACCTGTCGGAAAGTATATCAAGATGGCAAATGATGATACGAAACAACCTGCAGAGGAGGAACTTGATCAACAACGAACCAGGGATGAAGGAAGCACATCCGAGCCAACGGTTCAGATCAAAGCAAATAACGATCAAGACATCCAAAGGGAATTGCAACAGGCTAAACAAGAGATTCAGCAGCAGCGGAATACTAATGATCGTTCTACGATATGTACTATTATGTAACAATAATAAATAACAAGTACGTCGTCATGCCCTTTTAAACCTATCTTCTATATATTTCGAAACATGATTTGTAATAAATAATGCACAGTTTGCAGCTGTTCCCGCCCTTTACATCACGTACTCCTCCCTCCGCATGTATTCGTACTTTGATGTGGTTCATTGATTTCCGTTTCGTACTCTACTATACGTATATGTACCGAGTGTATTAATTATTAATATTAATTGTGTTTATGAATATGATGTGCATCTTGTGTGTCTTTGCTTTTGTAATTATCTCTTATGTTCGTTGTCCATTTTTCAACAAGCTAAGTTTGCATTGTCGATTTCCAATTTTCATATGTTCACTGTCACTTTCAAAGTTAGTTGCCGTTTTCCAGTCAATTTTCAGAAGTTCATTGCCAATTAACAATTTGGTTGCCAAATTTTCAGTCAATTTTCATTATATATTTTTTGTTAATTCGGATAAAAAATTTATATTAAATTTTTTAATATAATGTTTTTAGCTCATATTGAAATAAATATTTATTTAATAGGAGGATTAAATTTTACAATTCGGAAATTATATTTAGTTCTGACTTTATTCATGTATACAATATTGTCAACTTGAATTTATACATTAAATGAAAATACAAGAAGTTTGTTTTGAAGTAGTACATAAATATTTTTTCTCAAAAAAAAGAAAAAAAGTACTACATAATTTCTATTGGAGAAAGACCTTTGACTTAAATGAGAGGGGAAATCTTTATTTTGACTATGAGACGATTACGGTTTATACTATGATACACCGGGTAGATCTTTACCATTCATATACACACAAACACACACATACCCACATTGGTGTGTGTAGATCAACGGTAAAAAAACACCCGATATAACCTTCACCGGGTGTAGCATAGAAATAATCGACGATTACATATAATAATTATTTCCACGTAATTAAGTGGAGAAAAATAGAAATAGTAGATCGACATGATATATCAATCATCACTTTCTATCCAAAGCTGTAAGAAAATGTCAAAGCCCCCTGAGACCGAACACTGCCCCTCGTCACCGGAATAGTCACCTCCCGGCCACTCCGGCCGCCACCTGCCACGTCATCGAAAAGCCTTTTCATGGACACGTGGACTTCTCCGACGTATCTGTCACCCAGGTTCCTGGAACAGTAGAGTTTCACGACCAGCATGGAGTTATAGTTATCCAACACCGATGCCATTATGGTGTACTCCATCGTGTAATTCCAGGCCGGGTTTCTCTTCCCGTGTGTGTCCGTCGGAGTTCTTTTCTCCCTCTCCGGCGAGCCGCCGATCGAAACCCTGGCGTGTACTTCCATCTTGCCGATTAGACGTACGTCTTCTAGGTTTTCTGCTGATATGATGGTTATCTCGAACTTTCTGCACTCCAGTGCCATTTTATTTTTATTTTATTTATTTTTATTTTGGTGGAATTGGTGATTTGGTGGGCTTTACATATAGTGCAAAAAGGAGATTGTAAGTTGCATGCTGAAAAGTATGTTTTTGGACAAAGTACGTATACGACCAGAGTTGGAGGGGACAAAAAAATGTCTTCTAATTTCATTATCACTATGTCGGTATAAATAATATTCTCCTCCATTAAAAGTAGCACAAAATTAATTTTGAGATTTAGTTATCTACACAAAAATAATATTATAAAAAAAAAACCCCGAAAAATTGAATTTTATTGAAAATACAAGAAGTTTTTGTTTTACTTAGGGCGGCCCATTAAATTGTTGGGTCGGCCTGCTTAATATTGAACTTTATAAACACCGTCTTCATACTCAAAGTCAACTTCCCAAATGAACACTATCGAAGCTTGTCCTGAACTTTGACCTTTTATTATTGGAATGAATCAACACAGATACCTCTGAGGAGTTGACTTATTACATTGCCTTCTTTCGCCAAACCATAAAATTCATAGTTCATAAGAAGTTATATAATTATACATAGATGCTTATATTATTGACTTAATACAAACTAATTATTATTAACCTCCATCTTACTAGCCAAGATTACCATCTGCTTAGGAGTACACAGGAGAACACATAAATAAAGATTTTATTTTTACAAACTGTTAACCTTTTAGGAATTTAAACTGCCAATAGAGCGTAAATGTAAACGAACAATTTACTTAGAAATTTATATACAGACATGCTTTCATTTTATGAACCAACTTTCATTTAGCAAAACAAAATTCACAATCATGACAGAAAACCAAAAAAAAAAAAAAAAGATGTCTAAACTGCTTCTTGTTCTTAATGTGCCTTATAAATCAACAAGCATCGTAGAAAACATCATCGTCATCATCATCATCATCATCACCAACATTATCATCATCGACACGAACATTAGATTTATTATCTTCAATAGAATTTTTACTATTATTATCAGCTAATAAAAGCACGGCGCCACCCAACAAAACGAAAAACCCAACCTCAAAAGCAATATTCTTCCAACTCGAAGGCTTTCGAACCAAAACCTTTTCATTACCAAATCTATACAATATATTGACCACACCATTTTCAGTTCCAGCAACTCTGTAGCTCAAAATCTTATCCGCTTTAATCCCCTTATCGAAAAGACTCTTTATCGGTATACTCACATCTCCGATGAATCTATTGCCAAGAGTTCTCTTACAGTAAAGTCTGATAGAAATCTTTACGTCTGGCTGTTGAACTGCGGACTCGCTTATCGTGTACTCTGTACGGAAATTCCATCTGGGATTGGTTTCTCCTTCAAAGTCAACCGGGCTTCTTTTGCTGGTTTTCGATTCACCTTTGATCGAAACCTTTGCGTAGACTTTCATTTGTCCTAAAGATCTGACATCTGGAAGGCTATTGGCGGAAACAAGTGTTATTTCCAATTTTCTGCACTCCATATGTGGAAGTTCTTTGCCAGTTGCAGGTGTAATAAAAAAAAAAAAAAAGAATAATAATGTTGGATTAATATGAACCAACAAAGGGAAACTGATTGCATACCATCATTGAAATATAAAAGTATTCAGAATATATATTACTTGGTCTTTCTTCTAAAATAGCTAAGGCATTTTTTTACAAATGAGTAATTACATCGTTTTATAGCTCATTATATTATATATATTTGGATTTTTTTTAATTATTTATTTTGGTAAACGCCTGTTTGTTTTATGGTTTATTAATCAAGAAGGGAATCAGTAAACTAGAATCTTTTTATTTTAATTACTCAACCGGCAACTTGTCTTTCTTACCCCAGAAACAACTGATCATTTAACATGATTTTGAATTTTGATATTCAATGATTTTGAATTTTATAACAGAAATGCTATGATTTGATAATTTGATTCTAAAGTACATACCAAAAGGCATGATTTCAGCACCATATGTATCGGTAGTTAGAGTATCCTTCATCCCAGCTGAAAATAAAACCCCTAAAGGCTAAACAGTACTTCTGCAGATAAGATACGATCTCATATCGTATTTTTTTCGTATCAAAATTGAATATATCGGCGAAAAACACATTAAATAAAGTATTTTTGTTAATACCATACATCATAGGGTTCAAAGGAGGCTGCTTATTATTTATTTCAGTGACACAAATAAAGATAAACTGTTTGCAGATGAAACCAGGAGACGAGACGAGACGAGACACTGCACTGACTTATCATTTATGACACGTTTTTTTTTATCTGATCGTCAAATTCAGATAGCTAAAAATACGGAAAAATAGATGAAAATAAAAGATGGAAACAGAGAACTACTGCAGTGCTCACTCATCCGATGATTAATTAAACCGAGATACTATTCAAATGTAGATGGGGAAAGAGAACCATAGGCAAAGGACCTTTAAGAGGACACCAAACAAGCACCAACTCTGTCTCGAGGAATCAACCGCAATTCTGACCCATGTTTAAGAAACACATTTCCTGAAAATAAAATAAAAAAAATCATTCAATTTAATATTCCAGAGCAACACGTCAAATTTACAAAATGAATTGCCGAAAAAACACATTTGGATGAAACTCTTAATCTGGTTGTCAAACACTAAATCTGGACTTAGGGAGATTATTTAAATCCTGTTTTGTAATATACTTTTTTTCTACGAAGGAGATAACTGATAAGTCAGTTCATCGATCGAACAACAAGTTAAACAAGGAAGCACGTAGCTTTACGATGGCTAATGACTTCTGTAGGTATACTGTTTTGAAAAGCCAACTAATTGTATTCATTAAAGGAGTGCGCAATTGAAATCAAGCACCGGCAGCCTATTGTATATAGCTTATAAGCCAACAAGGCAGGAAAATAAAACTATATATTAAAATACTATGAATACCAAAGTAAACTAATTGATGCAGAAAATAATGCAAAGTACAGATAGCCAACAAACAATGTCTAGTCTGTGATCACAAACATGCATTTGTAACAAACAATTATCCGTGAAAATAACGAAAATATCTAAAATACCTGCGCTTTGTTGAGGGTTAATTCCCACTCCATCTGCATAAACAACAATCATTAACAAATTTAAAATTAGCAAATTCATCAAAAGGAAATCAATCAAAATTAGGAAATTACATATCCGTATAAAAAGAGGGAAATAAAGATTCTTCTGAAAATACCGTTTGTGATTATGGCACTGGTTTGAGGAGGCACTTTGAATTCTTCAGCAGCAAATTTCAGAACTGCTGTGAATGGAGCTGCCTCTGGTACGCTAAATCTGTTTATTATAATTTTTTTACAGAAGAAAAAAAAATTAATTCAAATAAATGGATAAGAAAAACATAATTGATATAAACAATCAGAAAAAGCACCGCTTACACTTTGAAAGGAAGTTTGGGATCGGAAGTAAGAATGACCTTGAATGACACCTTTCCACCGCCGGCGCCACCGCTCGCCATGTTTTCCGGCTAAATTTTCCTTTTTTATATTTCTATTTGTTACTAATTATTCTGTGCTTAAAGAATATAAAACGTCGTCGTTTGATACATAGAGCTGCTTAGTATATACGCGCGGGTACAGCTGGGCCCAATAAGAAACAGCCTCATTCATAATGTTCCTTTTTAATTGGGCCTTGTAATCAATATTTAAATTTATTTATTTCCAAAAATATCTGGTGGGGCCCATTAACTATCCGCCAAAACCGATTGTACCGGGTCGAATAAAACCCGAACCGTAATGCATATTAGAAAACGGCAAGTCCGCAGCCCTATGTTTAAAGCGCCTTATTTTGCAGTGCGTCTCTTTTTCGAGCTTCTTCCAACTTCTGGTGAAGAACTCCAATTTCTCAACAATCTGCTCCGGCTTCCAACTTTTAGAGGTAAAATTATTCCATTTTATGCAATAATTTTATTACAGTACGAATGAGGTTCCGCCACCAGCATAGTTTTCCAAAACAAGCCGATGCAAAGGCGGAATTCCTGAAATTGGGTTTTCAGATATTTGTAGAAATAACCAACACTTTTGGGGCAGAATTTGTTCACATTTTTGAAAAAAAATCAGAATAGAATAATACCCACTAGATTTTACTTTCTGCAAGTTTGTGTAATCTTTACCTGAATCTAAATTTCATCGTCCTTGAATTCGGGAAGCTAAATTCCACCTTTGGATTTGATAATATTTTCAGTTACTAGATTTTTTGTGCCTTATGGCAAAGTAAGTCAAACGAGTTTTGTTTTATTGAGAAGTGCTTGATTTAGGTTATTTGTCGCGACTAACTGACTGTTGTGATATTTTGCTGAAATTCACATTACTCGCATCTTTTTTACAATGAACAGCGCATTGAATGGCAATCATATCTTGTGGAAGTACACGGGTGACCTCGTTGGGAGTTCAGCCTCAGTTCACACTGCGATCCTCTATTACAAATAAACTTTCGACTTCTCTACCATGGTAACCATTTTTTCGAAGCATTATTAGTATTTTAGTCATGGAGCCTGTCATTTATCTGATATGTTTTCATTTGATGCAGTACACCTAGCAGGATTACGACACTGGCATCCCAAAGTTCGACATTTTTCTCAGAACAATCATTGAATGCACTTTTCAGCTCAGTGTCGTACATTAGTCCTTCCCACAAGAGAGGAGCTCGTCTTGTTGTTCGAGCTGACAAGGTATGATTTATAAGATCATTTTTTATTCTGCTTGTGAACAAACTTATTTTCTTATATTCTAGCGCATTTTTCAGTCGAAGCAAGGTATTTTAAATAGACTAGGAGATACTTAATCTTTGTCATGCTTTTCTCTATGCAAGTTATTAATTAGCGTGTTTTTACTTGCAGGATTACTATTCCGTGCTTGGTGTGTCTAAAAATGCGAGCAAGGCAGATATCAAAAGTTGTGAGTATATTACTTTGATTTTTTTTTAAAAAAAATTTCGCTTAACTCAATGTTTGTATTGCTCGAATCAACTTAGACTTCATATATAAGCAGATCATCTTAAGCATTCTGAGAAACACCATTGAGATATTCTGCATAGAGCACCTTTCCTCTACGATGCTCCTTATTCCTTAGCACCATCTTTTATTTATAACGTTTCTCTGTATTCCTTCACCGTTTACTATCATTTTGAATAACTATGTCCGAGTTTTCCTTTATTGATTGAAAAAAAAATTATGATTTAATTAATTTTCTCGTTTATTACATTCTTCTTCAGCATATCGAAAGCTTGCCAGGACTAACCATCCAGATGTAAACAAGTAATTCACAATGCCAGTTTCACTTTTACTTGGCCTTCGACTTTTATCTACAGTTGGATTATAAATATATTATATCTGAAATACAGGGAGCCTGGAGCAGAACAAAAGTTCAAGGATATTAGTAACGCATACGAGGTAAGGAAATTTATTTTTTCCTTACGTCATTACCCAATTAATGCCATTTACAGCATGTAGAAATTTTCTAAATGTTTGAGCTTTGTGACAGGTTTTATCAGATGACGAAAAACGTTCCGTTTATGACAGGTATGGCGAAGCTGGGCTCAAAGGTTCTAGCATGGGTGGAGGGGTAAGTCCTTGTAATAAAAATTGGTAATTCAGAAGTATTGTTACTGCATAATAATTTTATAATATCTACTTGCAAAATAATAACAGGATTACACAAACCCATTCGATATATTCGACTCATTATTCGACAACCTAAACACCGGTGGAAGAGGGTCCCGCAATCGAGCCACAGAAGGCGAAGACCAGCTCCACAACCTAGTTCTCAATTTCAAAGATGCCATATTCGGTATCGAGAAAGAGATCGAAATAACCCGTCTCGAAAGCTGCAACACATGCAAAGGATCAGGGGCAAAACCGGAAACGAGGTCTTCAAAATGCAGCACATGCGGAGGCCAAGGGCAAGTCATTACATCCGCGCGGACCCCACTAGGCGTGTTCCAACAAGTGATGACGTGCCCCAATTGCAATGGAGCAGGAGAAATATCCACCCCTTGCAGTACGTGCAGAGGGGAGGGAAGGGTAAAAAAGTCAAAACGCATCAGCTTGAAAGTTCCGGCTGGAGTAGATTCCGGAAGCAGGTTGAGGGTCCGTTCGGAAGGGAATGCCGGAAGGAGAGGGGGCCCGCCTGGAGATCTCTTTGTAATGATTGAGGTTCTTTCGGATTCTGTTCTGAAAAGGGACGACACAAACATTCTCTACACTTGCAAGCTTTCTTACATAGATGCTATTTTGGGAACTACGATGAAGGTTCCGACTGTGGATGGGATTGTTGACCTGAAGATTCCTTGTGGGACCCAACCTGGAACAACCTTAGTTATGGCGAAAAAGGGTGTCCCGTTTTTGAACAAGAGCAATAGGAGGGGTGATCAGTTGGTCAAAGTGCAAGTTGAGATTCCGAAACGGTTAAGCGTCGAGGAAAAGAAGCTCATTGAAGAACTTTCTGAGCTCAACAAGGCAAAGGCTACTGCAAGTAGGAGATGATAGTAAGTCCCCTTACCTATATTATTTGCATTTCCGATTTCTCTCCGTAGTTTAGCAAATGATGTGTCTGTTAAATCATAGCCATTAAAATTCACATCGAAATTTTGGGGTTTATTATTATTATTTATTATTCTTTAAACACGGTGAGGAATATTAGTGAGATAAATTTCTTGATTGCGAAACATTTGTAGTATCACTTGTAAATGGCAGATGATGCTTGATAAATTGACATGATCTTGAGAAATTATCTTAATATACACTATACATCTTCTTCCAGTTGATTTATGTATTCAGAAATTTGCATTGGCTCTAAAAGAAAATAAAAAATAAAAATAAAAAATTGCATTGGCTATCAAAAGCTGCATGTATTAATTATAAGGTGGTCAACAAATATTCCAGAGAGCAGTTGTGATAATCATGGTTAGAATCATAATCCACCACTTTTTCCCTGTAGGCTTCAAACCCATTGATCCACCACACACCAATTTGTTGTTGTGATATGTACATACAGGTTGTTTCCTGCAAAATTTATTTCAAAAATAAAATAAAATTATATTTTCTGAGAAGAATAAAAAAATTATAATTGTATATATATATATATATATATATATATATATATATATATATATATATATATATATATATATACCTGGATGAGCAGAAGGAAACAACATAATCAGTGCCGGAACAAGTGAAAATACTTGTCGGGTCATCGTAAGCGTAGCTATACGCAGTGGGGCAAGCTTTCTTGAACGTCTTTGAATAATAAGTTGGCTGACAAGTCACCGGATTCCCGTAAACCCCTCTACAGCAATACTCATCCGTATCGAAAACATCACACGCACTTCTACAGGCCACATTTCTGCCGCCACCTTTCACCGCCAGCTCCGCTGGACAATTTGTCCGGAGGTCGGCGTCGCAGCCAGCAACGCTGCAGTTCCCCCTCCCGTTGAGCGGTGTCACAACTATGGGCAAGTTGAACCCGTCGACTAGGCTTACGTCGTAGAAGTCGGTGGCGGCAAGTGTAAACTCTGCCAGGGAGGCTGGCGGCTTGCCGGAGGCACCGCACTTGAGGGTAGAGCCGCAGCTGCCGGTTTGGCAGGAGCCGTTACCATTTCTGTCGAAATTGCAGCCGGTGCGGGCCCATATGCGGCCGGACCAGCTGATGGGGGCGGTGAAGATTTGGGTTTGGCCAGGCTTTAGAACAAAGCCGCCGCCGTTGAAATACTCACCGGGAGTTACGGCGGGCCAGATTGTTTCTTTGCAGTAGTTTACTATTGTGAAAATTCTTGCACACGTGGACAACTCTGCCCCTGCAATGGCGGCCATTATAAAAAAAAAATAAAAAAAAATAGTAATATAATATAATATCACCTCTTACGTAAAACAATAAATTTGACAAATGGTTAGTGAAATACCTGTAATTAAAAGAAGTAAACCCAAAAATAGATGTAAATAAGCCATTGTCTTAATTTTGGCAACTCCTTAAATTGAAATTTTGTGATGATCTAAGAGGGACCATGTGTGTGTATATATATATGTTGTTCAAAAGCTGGTTGCAACTATGGAGAGGAGGAATACGTGCATGGATGAACAAAGAGAAGCACGAATCATTCTTTTCCTAAATCGTTACTGTAAGTTAGTAGATTCTCTTCTTTTTACATCTTTATTAATTATTAATCAACTTCTCTTTTACCAATTTTTTAATTACTTGAATTGTATTTTTAATTGTTTTATCTTAATCTTTACGTAAAGTGTGCTGTGTCCTAATTAGTAATTATAGTGGTTGATTTGATAAATTGAAGACTAAAATAAAATTAAATGAAGGGCAAAATACGGCCACCCCTAAGTTAATGTCAAATTACAAAAACTCAGGGATTTTTTATAATAAAATATATAATTGAGTAATAATTGTAATAATTCAAACATGAGTGGAGTTTTTGTAATTTGGTCTTAGCTTAGGGAGTTGGCCGTAATTTGGCTAAAATGAAATGATATATCCATAGCAACATGCTTGATGTTAACGCAGTGTGTTGATTATGATTTATGCGGACCCCTTATTCCAATTTCTATCCAGCTTTTTATTTATTTATATATTCCATTAATAAGAAGAGTTTGTCGTTAGAGAATCATAGATAAATAAACATTGATCCACAACCAATAGAAAAAAGCAAAATTATATTATTTTCATAGGAAAATGGATAAAGCATGCAATCATTTTCAACCATAAGATCCGATAATCAATCTTCTATTAACAGTGGAGATCACTACTTCAACCTCATCGATCAACTAACTATATTTAACATTCGTTGATTTTGTTGTGATATATTTTAAATGGCGGAGGATGCAGCTGGGAGATTGATCGGCACGGTGAAATGGTTCAGCGGGCAGAAGGGATTCGGTTTCGTCTCTCCGGATGAAGGCGGCGACGATCTGTTTGTGCATCAAACGGAGATCCAATCTGAGGGTTTTCGGACTCTCCGCGAGGGGCAACGGGTCGAGTTCAAGGTGGATAGCAGGGAAGACGGCCGGAGCAAAGCTGTCGAAGTTGTCATTCTCGCTAGGAGTTTCAATTCCGGCGGAAGACGCGGCGGGTTTCGCGGCGGCGGTGGTGGTGGTGGTGGTTATGGAAGGGGCGAGGGCGGCGATGATGGTTACGGAAGGGGGGAGGGCGGGGATGGTTATGGAAGGGGGGAGGGCGGCGGTGGAGGTAGAGGCGGGAGATTCGGCGGCGGCGGCGGCGGCGGCCGTGGGGGTGATGGAGTGGAGTGCTACAATTGTGGGCGGATAGGGCACTTGGCTAGGGTTTGCTATCGCGGCAGTGGTGAAGATGGTGGTTACCGTGGGGGATACGGACGTCGTGGCGGTGCTGGCGGCAGAGGCCGCGGCGGCGGCGGCGGCGCAGGAGGCGGAAGAGAGTGTTACAGTTGTGGAGAAGAGGGCCACTTTGCAAGAGACTGCCAGGTTGAGCAGAGCTGATCATCACAAATCATAATAAATACATGTACAAAACAATAATTTGCTTACATAATGTTCAATTCGGTTTCCTTTTTTTTTTTTTTTTTTTTTTTAATCTTTGTTCTTTTGTTTAATTCGATTTCGTCAATAAACAAAGCATGAAAGTTTGATACATTCGATTATATACAAACGGAAAATTACAAAGAATGCCACTGGAGAAAAAAAAAAAACTATCTCGGACCAGAAATCTGCTGGGAAGAGATATAAGATAAGTATCGATGAGTAGCATTCCTCGTACTATTGTCTGAAACATTAGCAGCAGCAGCAGCAGCATCTGGAAAAACCATAGCACCATTATTTTTAGTTTCTTCCATAACTGAATCCTCTGCAAATCTCCGACCATAAAACCTCAAAAAATTCAAAGACTCAATCCTCGGATTACACAAAGCCACCTCACCTTCCAACATACCTACCACACTAACCATGGTTGGCCTCAACCCTGGTTCCTCATGCACACAACACAATCCTAACCGAACCAACTTCTCCGCATCCTCACTCGTCACCCTCCCCCGCAACCTCGGGTCCACCAGCTCCAAATACCTCCCCTGCTCGTGCATCTCCAACGCATAAAACGGGAAGTAAATGGCCCCCGCCGAAGAGGAACACACCGACGAGCTCCCGCTGTTTCCGCCACGGCTGTGACTCTTCGTAACCAACCCACAATTCTTCCTCCCACTCACAAGCTCCAATAAAACCATACCGAAGCTATACACATCTGTCTTTTCCGAAACAGCGGAGCTCGTTAGCCACTCCGGAGCAAGATACCCGCGGGTCCCTCTCATCGTCGTGAATAAACTCGATTGCTCTCGAGTTAGAAGCTTCGAAAGCCCGAAATCGGATATCTTCGCTTGTAAACGGTCGTGGAGGAGGATGTTTTCGGGCTTCACGTCGCAGTGGATGATCTTCCGTTCGCACCCACTGTGGAGGTAGGCAAGCCCCCGGGCTGCGCCGATTGCAATCTCGACCCGCTCCGCCCACTCGAGAACCGGGCCGGGTCCGAAAAGGGTTCGGTCCAGCGACCCGCGGTTCATGTACTCGTATACCAATAACCACTGCCTTCTCTGTGCACAGTAGCCTTTTAACTTCACCAAATTCACATGATGGATGTTTCCGATAACTGCGATTTCCGTGCAAAAATCCTTTTTGCCTTGAGCACCTATATTGGTTATTCTTTTAACCGCCACGGGTGTTTTATCGGGGAGTTTGCCTTTGTACACTGTGCCGAAGCCACCCGTTCCGATTTTGGTCTTGAAATTTTCGGTTGCGGTTTGAAGCTCTTCGTAATCGAAATGTAAGGGCAAACCCGGGATTGTAAATTCCAGGTCAGATAATGAGTTTTTGAAGCTTTGTTTTTTTTTCTTTACTTTCTCTTCAAGACTGTACCTTCTCCACAAGAGGATTGCTATTGCGAATAAGAACAGGAATCCGCTCAACGGTAATACCACCGCAATTACAGGAAAACCCGCCTCATCGTTGCTGAGAACGCCGAAATCCGTTGGCGAAGCTCTAATAACGGTTTTAATGAACCCTAGTCGATTGTTACGCGTAGTACTTCTTGATATTAAAGATCCCAATACGTTTTCGAGTTTGTAACAAGAACCGGAAGTGTTTTCATGGAAAATACCCAAGCAAGAGCAATCTTGCGAGCATAAATCTCGACACTGCGATAAATCCACTCCGTAGTTTGTTGGGAGAGTGAAATCATTTGCAAAGTAATCCACACCGTAGTCTAGTTGGACGAAAGACAACCTCGAAGAATTCAAACCTTTGTTGTCATCTGATTTGCAAGAAACCGGCGCCAATGAATAAGAACCATCAACAGGAAGGCAGTTGGTTGAATTATTCGAAGCACTCAAACGGAAACCCGAGGGGCAGGAGCACGCGGGACTATTTACGGAAACGCCATTCGTACACAAACCAATCTTCCCACAAACGAATGGAATTTGACATGCATCGATAGGCCAAACAAACTCGTGTCTTTGTGCAACCCCGAAGAAGCTACTGATAATGAACTGACCAGAGGCATCAATCTTGGCAGTTCGAAATTCAGACAGAGGCAAATTAACCTTAATCACGACTGCAGATCCATTTCGACCAAACAGATAAAGCCCAGTTTGGTTAACCGCCAAGAACTCAACCGCGTAACCGGAGTTCACGTATGCCTTGGTTTCCATAGACAGTTTCCAGTATGTAAGATTCTTCCAAAGCAGAGTGGCATCAGACAAAGTTAAAGCAAGTCCGTAATTACCGACAGAAAGATCATCGTTCGAGACAGCACTTAAAAGTACCGTTTCCGCACGAAGCTCTTGTCCGATCACAATCGTGTCCGTGGGATTACGAAAGCTCTCCCAAAGGGTTGCGTTATATCGATCGAGCAATACGAGGTTTCCGGTTTCTGTTAGCCTCAGGGCAGAAACTAACGACTGGAAAGGTGGAGTGGACCACCTTAAACTCCCGCCTTCTTCGGTTATGCTGATGCCGTTTCCGGACAGAGTCATAGTTCCCGATTTCGATACGGGCGAGTCGCGATTAGCCGACCATATAACAGTGTTGGATTCGACATGGATAACACATAGGTAGAATCTGATTTGCTGTGAACCAGGATTGAAAATAGCAGCTTTGAATGTTCCATTAGAAGAAAACAAGAAACTACCGGAAGCATCAACGTGTCTGAGATTCGAAGCCGTGAAATTCGGGTACACGAATTCGGTGAAGGAAACAGCAGACACGAGAGAAAAGGACAAGAAGAAAACATTGAGAATTAGTATCAAGAAATCCATCATAAGACAAAGTGAAGAAGGGAAGAAAACAAAACAATGGGTTTGATTGATGACAAAAAAGGTATTATTGTGTGGGAAATTCATTTTCTTGTTGTACATAACTCAAAAGAGTTGACTAAAAAAAGTCAATCAATTCCAATTGGACAATGATTGATGAACTGTATAGAAACATTATAGTAGATTAGTTTATGTGGTGAGAGTGAGATATGATGCAGACATGGGGTTTTATTCAATTCTATAAAAAGAACTGCTACATGTCATGCTGTATTAATTTGTTTTATTATTTATTTATTTATTTATTTATTTGATCAAACAGGAACAGTTTACTTTGAATTATACAGATCACAGAACTCATCAAACGTCAGCACTTTTCTTGTCTGACTAAAACTATGAATATATAAAGATAATAATACAGTAAAGACTGAAGAATTAACAATGTATTTCATATTATTGAATAATAAATGAGTGAGATTATAATAAGAAGGAATATGCCGCTTATTTCTGGGAATATTCAAACACGATATTCAACTGTCTTTGCTAGAAACGGCGTCGTGTAAAGGGTGTAGACTCGCGTTTTATATACCAACGCTTTTTGTTTCTTTACTTACGAAAACGCTAGCTTTTTTAGCATTGGTAGGAGTTGTTTAGTTGTTTCGCCGCTGCCAATCATAGTGTGACACGTCATCCTCTTCCTCATTTAGATAACATTAAAAGTTGATTACATATTTTATAATTTACATATATGAGAAAATGGAATTTCAATCTTAGTATTTTCAATTTTTTCAAACCAATTTAGAAATTTGGATATCCAATTGAAGTTAGTTTTTCAGAAATTTATTTTTTCCAAGTGTACTAGTTCTAATTCAATCTGTTCGATTTTCACCCATTACAGTTACGATTGAAATGTTTATTTTAAATGTTGGATATTGAAGATGAAAATAAATAAGAATATTTTTTGGCAATTTTTTTTAATATTTTTTTTTGGGGGCAAAAATTAATAATTTAATAATTCATAATTGTGATTTGCAGGGTTTCATGCAATTAAATATAATAGTTTAATTAATTTACTTAAAAATTACAAAGAATAAAAAAAAAAAGAAAAAAGCCGATTGAACTAAATAAGGCTCGGTCCAATAAGAACGACCATCAGCCCATTTGAGACTGTACACATACTAAAATAACCCGAATCTAGATGACCCAAATGGATCGGGTCGGGTCACGCCGGGTCGGGTGAGAACAAATCACTTTTCACCCTACCGGCCCTTAAACCCCTCCCCCCTCTTCGATTCATCGTTCATCGTTTTTCGTGGAGCTGCAATTTCTTTTTCCGATAGGGAAAATGAAACTGATTCGAAGTGCACTGCGGTACGCGAACGCCGCTCTGCCCCGTCAATTTCAAAGCCCTCATGTAATCCGTGCTTTTTCGGCAAGCGCTTTTGCAGGTAATTATGCTTCCTCTTTGTTTTTGTTTGCCGAGATTTCTATTTTTTTGCTTGCAAATTTCATTGATTTTAGTAGTAGTTGTTGTCTTCGCTGTTATCGACTTTGTGGTTTTGCGAGCGGCAATGCGTACTGAGAACGTATGAAAGTGATGTAATTTCTAATACGCGTTGCTAAAACTTTTGGATCCAAAAGCAATTTGTGTTTTAAAAAAGAAAAAAAAAACCCAATTGATTGTGCTAAATGCAAATCTGATTGATTGATGGATTGATGCAAATCTTTCAATCCAATTGACTGTTCTAAATGCAAACTTCTCCCTTGTTACAGTTACTGATGATAAGCACAACTTTAACTCGTCTGAGTCAGTTGATGAATTTGAGCAACGGATATTTCGCGACGAGAGTCTTCCCAGTTCGAGGTTTTTCAGAAAGCTCGACAGAGTCGAGAAGGCACATGATCGATCTGGGATGGGAATTTCATTTAAAAAGTCTGATATCATGGATAGTTTAGGTGATACTGATAATTCGTTAAACGATGGAATGGATTATAAGCTGAGGAAAGCGGCAACTTATTTTGAGTTTGACCCTGAGGAAGTAACTAGAGAAGATTATGTATTCCGGTCTGATATTAATTTCCAGGCTGGGATGACTTACGACCCCAAGGTATAAATCATAAAGTAAATTTGTGCCAGCTGGTATGAATGACCGTCTTCTATACTTTATCCTGGAATGTTGATTTTTTTTTTTGGCTGCTGCGTGTAATTTCGTGCAACAACGAAGCATCTTATCCTTTGTTTGATATTACATTACCTAGATAAGTTGTATTACATTATCCTTTGCTCAGGAATTTTTTTAATGTTGGACTTGTGTTTTGGTTTATGCTGACCAATATTTATGCCACCCCCAGTCGCTCGTCCACTCAAATACTTGCTTGAGACGAAAATGAAAAGCCCGTTTGATTCTTGACATATCTATCCTATGATAAGTGTTGGATCCTGTTGATTGTAACCATTAACCATTGTGCAGCACTAGAAAATAATTATCTTGTCTGGATTTACGTTTTGTCTTGTTTGTTCATGAGTATATAAAGTAGTTTGAATTTTTAGTTTAGCCTGAAGTTTATTCTGATGATTTGTCTGATTAAATCAAATATGAGACTCAGTTTGCCACTATACTTGCTTCGATATATTTAGGATCTTGATCTGCGAAAGCCTGGAGTACGTAAGCCTGTCAAAAGGGGCGAGTTTGAGACAACAACAGATGAAGTATTACTGAAAGCTGATTTCAGGGTAAGGACATTAGGAACCTAAACGTCATTCTTCGGACAAATAATCAATTTCTGTATTATAATGTCTATATACATTGTGTGTAAACGAACTGTCTTCACAATTTTCTAAACTTGCTGCTAAATTTCTGTGTTCAGAATGTGAAATTCCTCGCAAACTTCATCACAGAGGCTGGCATCATTATCAAGAGGAGCAAGGTAAATAATGAAAACCGCATAATAAATGGTAAATCGAAAAATCATGATAGATGCTTTGTTTCTAACTGTTGCTGTTTTGTGGGGCCAGACTGGAATCAGTGCCAAGGCACAGAGGAAGATTGCTCGTGAGATAAAGACTGCACGAGCGTTTGGTTTGATGCCTTTCACCACAATGGGAACCAAACAGTTCAAATACGGAACAACAATGGAAGACGAAGATTGTGATTTTGAGTACGAGTCCTATGATCGTAGTTTTGTTGACGAGGATAGAGGTGATTCTATGGCGGCCTAAAACCTCGTCCTCTTTTGCTCTTTGTAGTTCTTTATGTTCAAGGAATAGAGCACTGTTGTTTGTCATTTTGTATTTGTTTTGTCAGAAGGGAGAACTTTTATATTGTAAGCCCAATAAACTAGGTTGTATGGTGGTATTTCTGATGGGCTTGTAATTGCTGCTGACAGCTTCTTGGGCTTTAATTGGCTATTGGGCCTAATTTATCTTCTTTTTATTTTTCTTTTTTTGAAATATAAATCAAATAAAACACACATGCACACTAGTGTTTTTTAATTTCTTGAAAAAGAAAAAAAAAATATTAAATGAAAGTAATATTTTTCCCTAAATCGGATTATTTTTTGACAACTCCTAAATCGGATTACGAGATATCTAATAGAGAGTAGAGTGGTGGAGTTAAATTAAGTAGGTGATGCTGATGCTCCATCCAATCTCGCTGCGTTATAGTTCAATCCATTGTACCTGGACATCTTCTTCTTCTTCTTCTTCCCATGAAATGCTTAGACCCTACTTCCTCAAACCCTTGATTTTTTCCAAAAACAGCGGCTTAATTTTGGGTATTTCTCGAATTCACGGCGTCGGCTGCGCTTCCAGGATCTCCTCCGCCGGCATCATGGTTTCCCCTCTATCCACCGCCGCAACTACTCAGCAACAATCTGTTTCAACTCAGGACGGCTCATCTGAGAAGATCGCCGCTCCAAAACCTCCCCAGGTCAATACCCATTTATGTACTTTTATGTATATATTTTTTCTGATTGGAATTGAGTCGGAAAAAAACCCCTTTTGGGGATTTCGCCATAGATTCAATATATCGTTGATTGTAGATTTTCTGGTGAGATTATAGTTGAAATGCTGGGTTTAAGCAGAATCTGGGAAATTAATGTTTTGATGCCTCGAGTACTGGAAATTTTCTAACTCGAGCAAGTGTGAGAATTTTTTTTTTTTACACTATAAATATTTGGTAGTTTCATAATATTTTCTCGAGAAGAATTATTTACTCGTGATGCTAATTCCCTTAATTAATAATGTGTTTAGTTGATTCCATTGAACTATTTGATTTAGCAGCCATATAAGTCCATGCATAGAATTTTTAAAGATTGAATAAGGCTGCAAATTGGTTAATTTTCGGATGATGATGTCTATGGTTTCTTCGAATTACGAGGTGCTTTAATAGGTTGCAAAACGCTTGGAGAAGTTCAAAACAACAATTTTCACACAAATGAGTAGCCTAGCCATCAAGCACGGTGCTATTAATCTCGGACAGGGCTTTCCGAATTTCGACGGCCCAGATTTTGTAAAAGAAGCAGCTATTCAAGCTATTAGAGATGGCAACAACCAATACGCTCGTGGATATGGAGTCCCCGACTTGAACTCAGCTGTGGCTCACCGTTTCAAGAAAGACAGTGGACTTACAGTTGACCCCGAGAAGGAAGTTACTGTCACCTCCGGATGCACGGAAGCAATAGCTGCAACCATTTTAGGTTTAATAAACCCTGGCGATGAGGTCATCGTCTTTGCTCCGTTCTACGATTCCTACGAAGCTACTCTGTCAATGGCCGGTGCTAATATAAAATGCGTCACACTGAAACCACCAAATTTTGCTGTCCCGATTGATGAACTGAAATCCCTTGTCTCGAAAAACACCCGTGCAATCTTGATGAACACTCCACATAACCCCACTGGAAAAATGTTCACCAGACAAGAACTCGACGAAATTGCTTCATTGTGCATTGAAAACGACGTATTGGTTTTCTCCGATGAAGTTTATGACAAGTTGGCTTTTGAGATGGATCATATTTCGATTGCTTCTCTTCCAGGTATGTACGAGAGGACTGTGACGCTTAATTCTTTGGGGAAGACATTCTCGTTGACAGGCTGGAAAATCGGGTGGGCCATAGCTCCACCACACCTTACGTGGGGAGTGAGACAGGCGCATTCTTACCTCACTTTTGCTACTTCCACACCGATGCAATACGCTGCGGCGGCTGCTCTAAGAGCTCCCGATTCTTACTATGAGGAGCTGAGGAGGGATTACAACTCGAAAAAGAATATTCTCGTGGAGGGATTGAAGTCGGTGGGTTTCACTGTGTACCCGTCGAGCGGGACCTACTTCGTGGTGGTGGATCATACAAAGTTTGGGATGGAAAATGACGTGGCGTTTTGCGAGTATCTGATCAAGGAAGTCGGGGTGGTGGCAATTCCGACGAGTGTGTTCTATTTGAATCCGGAAGAAGGGAAGAATCTTGTGAGGTTTACTTTCTGCAAAGATGAAGGGACTCTTATTAGCGCTGTTGAGAGGATGAAGGAAAAGCTTTTGAAGAAATAATAATACCCTCTACTTTCTCTTTTATTTATTGTTTCAATAAGTTTTTGTTCTAATTGCACTTGACGTCATCGGATCTGGGGTTTTATCTGCTTTTGCCTTTTTTCCTATTTAAATTGTTAAGGTGGATTAAATTGCTAATTCTCAATGGATATAATAATTATAATTATAATAATAATAATAATAATAATTTTAATAACATATGTGAGATTAAATTTCCGGTTAGCGAAAGCCAATTAATGGTGGTCAATTGTACAGTATAGGCCGCTGTATAGGTACTATATACTGTACCCCCCCCAAAAAAAAAAGGGGGAATTTGTAAATACTAATTAAATAGAAAGTACATATATGAATATGAGTTAGTAACTGGCACGTGCCGGGCAGAGATGAGAGGGTATATAAAAGGCAAAAATACCCCGAATAAGATCGGACGACCATATCTTTCTGTCAGTATATTGATTCCTCCATCCAACGACCTATACTCTCTGGCCAATATCCACCGGAGATATTCCATCGACGGTCACCATCAAACGCAGGTGTGGGGCCCACCACTTCACCTTTTCTGCATATAAATATAAATATACCTCATCTCATTAATCCGGTCCTCTCTGCACAATTCCAAAATTGCAAAATTGGGACTCTCTCTCTTTCTTCTCTCTCTCTCTTCACAACTTCCCACGCTTCCTTTTTCACACACAAAACACACAGTATTTTTCTTCTAACTTACACTTCCAGTCCTCATCACCGGAGATGAAACCGGCTTTTGAGCACATGAGAAGAATTTCTAGGTACAGAAGCTGGGCCCACTAGTCGGAGGAAAAAAGATACGACGACGGCGTCGCTCTGAAATAATGGACGGTCAGAAAATCCAGGCGAAGCTTACTAGGACCCACTCCTCGCTCCTCCGTTCATCCCCCACCATCCGCTCATCAATCCACAGCTTATCTTCCGTGAGCGACATCGCATCTGATCAGGAAACGGAAGACCTGGAGGAGCAAAAGCCCCACGGCAAACTAAGCACACCACCTGTTCGATCAATTGCCGCGCGTTCTGCACCGGCCCTCGCATTCGTCCTCTTCTCCTTTTACACGCTTTTCGCGTTCTTGTACTGGGATGACGTGTCCACCTCGGAGAATCTACTCCTAGCTCTAATCTTCATCGCGGGTCTGCTGTTCTTTGTCTCGAAGAACAAGGCCCTAATCAACGAAACCTTCAACTTCTGCAAACAATCATGCGTCAAAAAAATGTGTCTTTCTTGCTTCACATCCAAGAACAGCCACTCCAAACCGGTTCAGTGGTTCATCGGGGAGTCAAACTCGAACAGGATCGAAAGAGAACACAGTTTCAAAAAGATTGTAAGAGAAGGGGTGGAGTTCTACAGCAATGGCGATTTCTACGAAGGGGAGTTTCACAAAGGTAGGTGCAACGGCAGCGGGGTGTACAACTACATTGTGAAGGGCAAGTATGAAGGAGATTGGGTAGATGGTATGTACGATGGTTATGGTATCGAGAGTTGGGCGAGGGGGAGTAAATACAGAGGGCAATATCGGCAGGGTTTAAGGCATGGCTATGGTGTTTATAAGTTTTACACAGGTGATACATTTGCTGGAGAGTGGTTCAAAGGGCAAAGCCATGGTATTGGAATCCAGACTTGCGCAGATGGCAGCTGTTACATTGGGGAATTCAAATGTGGTGTTAAACATGGTATTGGTTGTTACCATTTCAGGTAAAAAATTAAATTCTTTACTCTTGTTACTATTGTTTTGTTGGATGAGATAAAGATTGGGTTTTTATGTTTATTTGTTTCGAAATTAAAGAATTCCCGGATCTTGATACGGTGTGAGGTCGTATAATTTCGTCGTTCCGGATAGAGACGAGTTTTTCGTAATTGAGATGTACCGGATTAGTTGAATGCTTTTCGAGAAAAGTAGCTATCTAATTAGACTTGGTTAAATACTAAACTAAAAATTCAACCTTTAATTTTTTTTTGTGTTGAGTTGTTGTGTGGTCCTTTTGGTAGGCAATCTGATTATGATAATTAGATGGTAGCTTTGGATTAATTATGTTGAACAACGCACAATTTATTGGTTCAACGTCTTTGTCTTACCCATTCAATGAGTTGGGTAACCAATTCATTGGTTTGATTAAATAAAGTATTAATTAATCGGTTCAATTACGTATGTATAGGAATGGAGATAGATACGGTGGGGAGTACTTTGGAAATAAAGTTCATGGTTTTGGAGTGTATCACTTTGCCAATGGTCACTGTTATGAAGGATCGTGGCACGAGGGGCGTAAGCAAGGCTATGGTATGTACACTTTTCGAAACGGTGAAACGAGGTTCGGTGAATGGGATAATGGCAATCTCAAGATTTCTCTTCCTCCTCTTACAGATGCTATTCTTCGAGCAGTTCAGGTACACTACACTACATTAATCATTGGACATAACTACCAAAAAAAAAAGGTTACTTAAAATTCTTGTAATTTTGCAGGCTGCTAGAAATACAGCAGAAAACGCAATTCGCCTTCGACGGGTGGATGAAGAAGTGAACAAAGCGGTGGCGGCTGCAAATAGGGCCGCCACTGCCGCTAGAGTTGCTGCGATCAAAGCTGTTCAGAATAGGATTCATGGGAAATTTTGTGATACTAACATTTGAAATTTGAAAAAGAAAAGAAATTACTCGGTTCTGTCCAAAGGGACGGAATGGTGGGCCCCGATAGGCAAAAAATGAAGTCATCGGAGGTTTTCGAGTATATGTTGAGGTTTTGTTTGTGTCTATACAATACAGTAACGTTGTACATAGATCCATATTGTATACACTGTCTTGAGAAAAAAAGAAATGATGAATGCAAAAAAGTTGGCTCCTTTTTGCTCCAGTTCCACTTGCTTGATCATATATCTCAATGAGAGTGTTTGTTTTTTTATGGTGGGGGTTTTTTAAAAAAAAGCATGAGCCTCAATTATTATTGTCATCTTGTCTTTCCACAACATTCTCATTTCTTCTTATTGCATCACCATCAATAATTCTTATCTTCATTCTCAGTAAAAATTGATCATCATCATATATGCTTTAACAACCAGCAAGATTGTATGTGCAAATTTATTCATTGATGGATTAATTTTATTACAAGGTGAAAATATATGTATAGAGAGAGGGAGTAAAAAAGAATATTAGTTAATTAATTAATTAATTAATTATGAAGAAATGATTGAATAATTGCAGAGATGTAGCACGTTGTGACAGGTAATATGGGTCATGTAATGGTTCGTGTCTTGTTTAGATTTGTCATTTATCTCAATTCACAGATTCTAACTATATATTTAACGTAACGTAACCAACTTGCTTTCTCATATATCTATCCATTTTTTCACATTATCACTATCTCTTAATTTTTTTCATCCATACTCTTAACATTAATGTAAGAAGCTTCAATTTAAAAAAAAAAAAAAAAGGTAATTAAAAAAACTCTTCTTGAATTAATTAACCCCATGAGCATCAAAGTATGTTGATTAATCCCAAAAAAAAAATCGGACAGGAAGCTTCATTACACACACACACATGTATATATATGTAAATATATGTATGTATATATGGAAACACATGGTGGAGTGGGGAGTAGTGGGGTTTTGTTGGTGAATATTTTGAGCAACTTTTTTCATGTTCATGCATGCTTGATCCGCAATCTCTGTTTAGTGTATTATTATTTTACAAAAGGCAAAAATAACTTTTGTTTTCTTTCCAATTTATTTATTTATTATTATTTTGGGAATCAAATTGAAAGACTGTTGATTAGATTCTTGTTGGTTTCTCTAATCTGCTTTTCACTCTCACCACCCCCCACATTCAAATCTTTAGTAATTTTTCAAATTAATCCAACCACGCCCCACATGTATTTCAAACACAAACTAGCTAGTAAAAGTAAGTGTACTTGGATTTTTTATTTTTTTATTATTATTAGATAATAAATCATGTTCTTTTGACTGATGATGATCACGTGAAGTTTAATTATATTTGGTTGCACAAATTTTATTATTTTACGTTTCTTGATTGTTCAATAATTATCATTTTCTTTTTACAACAATAAAAAAATAAAATTTGAAAATGAAATTAAAGGTAGTCCTATTAGTGAATGGAAAGTATTGTACATATAATATTATTTTCTGTATGTATTATATTATTTTCTGTATGTATTCATCATTAACATCAGAGCAGCAGTACGGTAAAAAACATTTATGACATAATTAAAAAAGAAAAATTATAACTTTATGTGTGTGTGTGTGTGTAATGTCGTGTAGCATGTTCGCTCCACTTATGTCTGTAAAATTTATTATTTTCTTGGTTACTGAAATCAATGGAATTAAAAAATTTGAAATAGGACCAGACTGCAACTTTTTGTTACCCTTTGGGTGTGCAAACTCACATTATCCCATATTTATTTATTTATATTTATTTCTTGAATCTCTCATCTTGTCGATCAGATCCATTTCTTTATGTATTTATTTATTTTTCTCTCATCTTTTTTGAATATATATTGAGAAGATTTCATTTTTTTTTTCTTTGAGAGAAAAAAAATCCACTAATTATGTTTGAAGATTTGAAGTTATTAAATGACCATCTTGTCCTTATGTACAGTCAGTATTAAGATGTATATCCGATTTTTAAATTATATCTTACGTATATATTACACATCACCTAAGATAAACAATGTTTGTATTCTTTGTATTCGGATAAGCATTATCCACGCAATTCAATATATTTTTTTTTATACTAATTTAAAATAAAATTATTTTATTTGAGGGGACAATATTAATGCAATAGATTGATTCTGCAATTATCATTTTGGTCGTCCCAGCCTTCCCTAGCTGTGTTTGTAGCTTATCCATGACGTGAATTGTTTAATAATATTTTATTCAGATCCTCTCCCTAATAATTTAATTATGTCAATTTGCTCATCAATTATTATGACACTTCCAGTATTTCTCGAGCCAACAAAGTTAATTTATTAATTAACTACTTAATGTGTTTTTTAATGTGTCTTTTTCGGGTGGGGTTTGTGTTTGAATATCAAACAAATAAATGGAATTTTGGCCGAATTTGTTTAAGTACTTTTAGTAAAGGTGACTGTTTTTTCAATGGCAAAAAGGCAAGAAGAATTTCAATTTATCATATATATATATATATATGATCATTAAATATTCAACTTTATCGAAATTAAACTATTTTCAACAAATGATTCCTACTATTTGAAAATTGATTTACATGGGACAATTCTTATTATTTTTTCTCTTTAAGAGTTGAAAAGTCATACGAAACATATATATGTTTTCCTATTTGCTAGTCGTTCGAAGTTCGAACTATATTCTTAAACTTGGTTTGGCTATCAAGATAAAATTAGTTAAGATAGGATTATGCAATCTGACGAGGAATAAATTGAATAAGAGGTCCAACTAATAATTCTCAAGTAAACCAAGATAAGAAAACATTTTTTTTAATAATTATAACAAAAAAAAACACCACAAAGTGATTTATTATTAGGAATTAGGATAAATGTGTTAAACGTAAACAATTCATAAAATATAAATAAATTATTTGTGGAGAAAGTGATTAGTCGTATGTTATTATTTATTAGAAAGTCGTAATTGAACCTCTTGTTATTGGATGGTAAGTCACCTAATCCTTATTGTGCCCATCCTTTTTTACTTTGATATTAAAATAGAAGATGTCACACTCACGAATATAACCAACATGATATCTCTAAATAAAATAATTTCCACCCCATTTTAACTAAAATAAAATAAAATTAAATTGTATTTTCCAATTCCTGCAAATATTTATTTGGGCTTTTATTTATTAGATTTTAGATGGGCTATAGTATAGGGATAATTTGTTGGGCTTTATTTATTAGGCTAGCTTGAGTTTAATTATACCCTAAAAGGCCTATTTTACTTACTAAGTTTCCGGGCCTTATTCATATGTGTCATTATCGTTAGACAAATAAAAAAGCCCACAATCAAAGTTAAGGATATATACATTTTTAAATATTTTTTTTCAATTTTTTGTTTGATATAGAGAGGATGTATACAATTAATTCATGCCACAAGTCACATGCCACAATCGATATTTTTATTCATTTGAATATGATTTACATAAGAACATTAATATTACAAGCGCAAGTGTTTTGGGGAAAAGATTTGAATTTTTTAAAATTAAAATTGGAGTGGAAATCGAAAACTCTTACATATTTGTATTCTAATAAATGTTATTTTATATATAATCGAAAAAATATATTTTTCAAAATCGATACTTTTTGAACAAAACAATCAAAATTTCAAAAATTCTATTCCGATTTTCGACCCTCACATCCTACTAACACTAAAGAGAACATAGGATTCCCCAAAAAGGATAGAAGATTTACACGTGATATCCACAAGCTTAGTTTGATAATATAGTGACACATATGAAAACAAATGGATTTTATTTTGATGTATTGATGCTCCAAGCCCACATGGCATGTTGCCCTAATGAACTTCAGACTAATACAAGCTTCTGCAATCCCATGTTCTCGATTTTTATTTCTCACCCACACTTTAATATAAATATGTTAAATCAATAATTAAATTTATATTTAATTGATGTAATGTTATTTTTATTAACTAATTAGAAAGAAAGAGAGAGGGTTACTTGTGCCCATGAAGAGCCCAGAATCTCATGTAGGCCAGACCTTATAGATTGTGCTAATATCAAATAAATATCCCTTAATTTAATTTTTTTTTTGATTTTTTTTTTTTTTTTTTTTGTGGCTTAAATTATGCTAGTGTCCAAAAGAACAAATTTAATCATGTAAAAAAAAAAATCGGTGGGCAATATTATTTGTCCTGAAAAGGGCAAGTACAATGTAGGAGGAACAAATACAAATGGTATACTCTGCAATCTCAGGTTCTCTATAACCGGACACCTCCATGTGCAATATTGTTTTAATTATTAATTGAATCAACATTCATTTTCAAATATCATTTACATTTTTAATTTGATTATCATAGGTTAAATAACATTGAATTACAATGTTGCCCCTAATATAACATAAAATAAGATTGAGTCATATTGTTAAATTAGAGATGTTACATTTAGCAATTTCTATATATAGATCAAATATATGAACACAATATATATTTATCAAATAAATAGTTAGTTAAGAGATGGTAAATCCAATTAATACAGTCCAAATTAATTAATTCCACTCATGCAAAAAAATAAACCCTAGTCTGTTTTCAGCACAGTAAAAAAACAATTTTTTTTTTTTACTTAGTACATTCAACATAAATATAAATACATATATTATACATGAATTCAGTGATGAGAGTCAAGAAAATAAGTTCCTCTCATGTGAAATTCTCAATTCCACTACAATACAGAGCAATCTAAATATATATATATATATATTTTTTTTAATTACTGCAAGTCACTATCAGTAATGTCTTCAAGAAATAATAAACTGAAGATCATCCAATGAATAAATAAATATAAGTGACCAAAAAAAATAAAAAAATAATATATGATGAATTTCAGCAGAAGCTCCATAATCGAATATCAGCAGCATCTTCATAAGAATCCTCCATTATCATGTGTGGATCAAAGAACACCCCATTCACCATTTCAGTGTAGTACTTTGGGGACTCAAAGTTGTACCACGAGTAATCGTCACCATCAAAAGGCGTCGTCGTTGCTAACGAGATAAGATCATCTTCGATACTATGAAGGGTAGTTTCGGGATGATTAGGAGAAGACGAAGAAAGTGATGGCGATGAATCTGCACCGTTCAATGAAGATGCTGATACTGATGTTGATACTGATGCTGACGCTGATTGTGGGCTTAAAATATTCAAATTTTCATCGAGAAAATTAGTTGGATTATTATTAGTACTAGTATTAGTATTAGTATTGGCTGCTGCAGCGGCGACTCTTTGAATGGATTTCGGGGACATGATTGAAGAAGTGTTGTCGGAATAATTACGAATGGAGAATGGAAAATTGAAATTAGCGGAAGAACCCTTGAGACAAAAAAGAGCAGCATCGTAAGCTCTAGCAGCAGCTTCGGGTGTAGAATGAGAGCCTAACCAAATTCTTGTCTTTTGATTAGGTGCTCTTATTTCAGACACCCATGAACCCCAGCTCCTCATTCTTACACCCTTGTACTTCTTTTTGTACTCTGACGACGACGACGACGACGACGACGACATTATTAATGCATCATTCGTAATTAATGCTGCGGCCATCTTCTTTTCTGCCTTCACCATTCTTCTAATTAATTTTATTAATGTTTTTTTTTTTTTTTTTAAATTTTGTATATATTTTGAGAAGAGGAAAATGGCAATGGGAAGTTGATGTTGTGGAGGAGAAGGGGTGTCATAATACTTATAGATGGGGAATTTTTTAATTTTTTTAATTTATTTATTAAAGTAATTGATTAATTTAGTCAAGGAAATGGTGTGTTGTGAATATGGAACCTGCAATATTGGCTTACAGATAATAATTTCCAGTACACTATAGGTGTTGAAAAAAATAAGTATGTCAATTACTTCACATATGACAGTGACTTTTTCTATGCTGCCCCTCAATGATTCTTAGTTGGAATTGACCGCTTCTTGATTAGCCTCTTAACTATGGGGTTAGTAGTAATAATACATGCATTTTCAACTTCTGTAGTTTTTCTTTTCATTTCATTTCATTTCTTAATTAATTATTTCATCGATCAACTAGGTCGTTACCCATTTCAGACTTTATTTTAAAATTAATATAATATATACATGAGTTATATAAAGAATATGTTAAACTAGAGTTTTCATGAAATTAAATGTTTATACAATAAGAAATGTAATTAATTTAAACGCATTAAATAATTATACATTAGGACACATCAACATCATAAGTAGCAAAGCCGCAGCTTCGTGGATGATACATGCAGGATTAATTGTTTGTGTAGGTATTAATTGTCTCAATAAAACACAATCACATATATAATAAATAAATACATTAATAATAAACTGTATGCAGTAAGTAATTAGTAATTAATTAACCTTAAGCAGCAAAAACAAACAGCTGGTGCTTCCCTGTCATGCATCTATCAATATATCTCTAAATACGCGTTTTCAGGGCCTTACCTATATCTTTCGTCATCTCTCTCTCTATACATCTTTATTTTTCTTTTCTTTTTTTTCTTTTTTTAATTACAGGAAAATGCTATTATGAAAATAAATAAATAAACGAATAAAAACAGGTTTGAATGTCTAATGACTATTTGCATTTATTGGGAAAAAATTGATTATATTATTATACAGATAAAACACACAATAATGGACATGCATGCATGAGACGCAGGTTTTGGACAAAATGCCCTTTTGCCATACATGATGGAGAATAAAAGAAATTATTCTTGAATTTGATATTTTAATTTCTTAATCTAACTACACACACTATGAGTTTAATTTGTTAATTAGGTTGATAAATTAGTTAAGGGGTCATAATAATAATTAATTAATTAAGGAATCATCTCCATATATATATATAATGCAGATGGATCGATGGAGGGAACATGTTGAAGAAGAATAGTGTCGGGTCAATCCGTACACCTCTGCTTCCTCGTAGACACAAATGGGAACACAAGCTAGTTAAGTAAATTAATTAATTAAGCTCTCTAATTTGTAATTAATAAATAGTATATATAATCAGTGTGGGAAGGACCGTTTGGTATGCTCTCAGGTAGGTGGCATAATAATCATTAATCTTTGTTTAAGAACTCATATATATTGAATTATTGATCACATGCCAATTTTCTTTTTTTTCTTTTTTACTTTGCTCTGGAATTAATTCATAAGGAACCTTTGCTTCTTGGAAATTCCAAGGAAACTTCACTATGTATATATACATATATACATAAATATATCAGCTGTTTTGTTTGTAAAGATTAGTGGGATCAATGATCAAATAATTGCATGAATGATGAGATATTCATGATCAAAATCCAGAGAAGGTGTGTGTAATAATTAATATATAATATAGTTCAGAGTGATGAATTAATTAAAAAGAAAAAAAAGAAAGAAATGAAAAAATGAGAAGAAATAAATGAAGAGGAGATGGATGGTAGTAATACAAGTGGTGGGTGGGAAGGGAAGAGGGAAGGACATACCGTACGTACCTTATCTGAAAGGACGTTGTCACAATTATTGTGAGACCTAGCTCCATTTATTGTTTAATTTGACACTATATTCCAGCTATCAATATATACATATTGATGGTTGTTGGTTGGACTATACATATAGACAAGGAAATCTTGTTTTTTTGGGATCGAATCACAGAGTTAAAATTTGAAACAGTCAAATGTAATTACATAATACATATCACATTGTCGTGTCATTTTGCAACCATTCTTGAAATTTCAATGTCATTTACAATAAGCAGATCCAGGAAAATATATGTGAGAATTAATATTTCTGGGGAAGAATTAAGGAACCGCAGTTAACTGTGTGTTTGTGTTAAAGGGGGTATTACAAACACAGAAAACCAAAAATAAAAAAATCGGTTAATATTTAAGAAAAACAATGGAGAGATAAGAAACTAAAATACTTACATAGTAAGCAATTCATAGAGATTACATCTCAACTCAACTTAAGTACCAACCATGAAACTAGATTGTTGGCAAGAACAACTCAACCATCCCAACATATTTATTATTTATATTATTATTATTAATTATTAATTATATACATCAATAACGCACCATCTTCTACCTTTATTTCATCTTTCAACAAACCATCAAATGAACTCAACGATCTGATTATGTGCTCGTAAACCTTAATCCCCTCTAAATAAACACTCGTCTCCAAAAACTGCAAATAATAAAAACCACAAAAATTAACGATGATCACCCTCGGAAACAAATGAATATGCACGTAAAAAGATGCATCGATGAAAGAAAGGGAAACCTCATTATGGTCATGAAGCAAAATGGGAGTATTCTTCATCGGAGAAAAACCAAGTGTAGGAATTCCCTTCTCTCTCATAAATCGAGCATCCGTAGTCGAAGGTAATATCTCAGGCTTACCAAGCTTTCCACCACCTTCTTCAACACCTTGTCTGAATACAGACCACCACGGGTTCGAATCGTCAATTGCTGTAATTAATGGCCGCCCCATGTAGTCTAAAATAGGACCCTTTTCTGTGATCTGTCATAACCAATAAAAATAATATAATTAAATTTGAAGTAAAATCCGTTTACTCGTTATGCCATGCTCAATCAAGAAAAAACAATTCGAACTAGTTTGACAAACTCAACGCCTAACATATAGAAGCAAAACCCGAAAACACGATCAAATTTCGGACTAACAGCAGAGACAACCGTACAATAAATTCCCAGCTTTCGAATTATCATCGACACTAATATAAGCATTGCATAAGTGTCCGACTCATTCAAATACCTAATTCAAAAAAACTAATTTGAAATAACCTCGTAAGACATGTTCCTCCATGAAGGCGCCCATTCGTCTTCAATTCTCCTCTTCATTAAATCAGGGTGTACAGTTGGCGGTAGACGAACATCGAAACCAGCTTCCACCTCAGATGGTTGCATATTCATTACAAACCCCTAATCATTAAAAAAAAAAACCGATCACAGATAGAACAAACAACAAACAAACAAAAACCGAACAATTTGCAACAACAAACACAAAGGACTCACAGTAGGGGATTCAGTTCCGGCTTTCATAAAAACAGGATTAACCGAAATAACCTCCGAATTAGCGGCCAAACCAGCCTTAACCAAATCGAAGTTATTCTCCCTAAACTTCATAATAATTTCCATACTCTTCATCAAATTCTCCATAGCACTATTATCGTACATTCTCGACCCGTGGCCCGGCATTCCCGTTGCCTTAATCACTAAATTCCACGGGGTTCGATCCGAGTAAAAAACCCTAAATTCATCGTTGACAGATGCTTGCCCTTCATCCAATACAAACCCTACATTTAATTCCTTAAACTCATCGCTCTCAACTAATTTCGCCATCCCGTTAAACCCTCCGATTTCTTCGTCGGGGACATAGGAAATGTGCACGGTTCTCAATGGGGTGTAATCGAGATTGATTTTTAGGTGTTTAATGGCTTCGAGATACTGCATACCTATGCATTTATCGTCCTGAGCGCCGCGGCCGTAGATTTTGCCGTCGTCGGATAAGTGGGCGGCGAAGGGGTGGTGGAGCCACTTGGAGGGCTCGGCGGGGACAGAGTCGAGGTGGGAATTGAACAGAACCGAAGGGAGTGAAGGGTTTGAACCTGGCCACGTGATGAGGAGGAGGGGTTTATCTGGGGTGGTGAAATAGAGGGTTCGGATTTGGAGTGTGGGAATGGTGGCGGCGAAGGCGGTTAGGTGATTGACGGCGGCGGCGTAGTCCGGCGTTGGGTGAGCGGTGTTGATTCTTAGGTAATCGCGGAATCGCGATATGGGTCCAGGTTCTAGGTTAGTTTTGACGGATTCAGTTGGTGACGGAGAGAGAAAGACGGCGAGTAGGATGACGACGGAGATGGGTGGCAGGTGGTGGCGATTGGACATGGCTGGTTAATCAACTGGAGCTATGGGAGTGAGAGCAGAGACAGTAACTGGAGACAAGTTCAGTAAATGTAAATCACCTCTCTATAAATTATCGTACAGTTCGGTACAATTTGAAGCAGAATCGTAACTCTGTTGATATCTTGTATTTACATGTATACATGATATCTTTTTTTTTTTTTTTTTTTTTTTATTATAATTTGGGTCCACTTCTAGATATTAAGCCCTGGCCCGATCGTTTTTAAACAATATGGGCCTCTTATAAATATTAGACCCTGGCCCGATCGTTTTTAAACAATATGGGTCTCTTATAATTATTAGGCCCTGGCCCGATCGTTTTTCAACAATATCGGCCTCTTATAAATATTAGGCCCTCGCCCAATATCCCGATTTCTATAAAAATCTAATATGGTAAATTACAACCAGCCCCTGAGGTATGTCAAATTACGAAACCCCCCCTCTTGTTTGAGTAATTACAACCAAACCACAACTATAAATCTTCTTACACGTCCACCCTTGCAGGTTTCAAATTTAGTGGAATCTTCTAGATTATATGTAATATTATCACTTTTGTACCCGTTTTATCTCATTCGAGTTCCTCATTTTGAAGCAAGATGATCATAAGATGTGTTTTTTGGCTTGTACATATCAGTTTTGGTGCATCAGAAACTGTATTTTTATACAAAACGAGTACAAACTAGAGCACATTTTACAGAATGTAGAAGATTATGTTAAATTTGACACAATAAGAGTGGAAGTGTAAGAAATTCATAGTTGATAGGTAGATGTAATTAACTAAACAAGATGGATTTTTTCGTAATTTGACCATAATATATTGTAATTTACCCAATCTAATATTGAAGTATGAATGGTAACAATTTGATATTGCAGTCAACTTAATATTTAGTAAATTGAGCAAGAAATTACAGACATCTCTATCCGATTTGTGATTCTTATACACACACACACACACGAGTGAATGGATTTAAATTTAATGCTTGATTGGAGTATAAGGAAATAAAATCCCTAATTCAAGATAATGCTTTTATACTACGCCAATCACTATTTTTTTTATTTTCTAATAATTAAAGTTTATATCTTTTATTGTAATTGTATATTTTATATAATTAGAAAAATAAGAAATCTGTATTTCTTTTTATAATATTTGTAGCATTAATATAATGTGAAATATGAAATTAAAAAACATTAAATGATTTAATAAAGCTAAATCCATTATTACATATTATTGCTCTACATAAATGGTAATTGTTTTAAAACCAGTATAGTGAAGAAAAAAGACTATAAAAGCGCGTGAGGAATTCCATCTACAACAGAAGCATTTTTGTTCCAGCCGGGACACCTGTCCTCACCTCGTCCAATCCTATTGGCCAGAATGAAACTCTAACTGCGTGGCGCCAATATTCATTCACCTCTGCCCACTCTCACATCACCACGCGCCTTCCTTAAATCTCCTCATCAGTTCTGCCGTTACAGAAGCACCAAAAATTCATATTTTTCACAGCCGCCCCGAAAAAGAGAAAAAAAAACCTTAATCAGTACCATATCACCATTCTCTATCAAACCTTGCGTCTCGGTTAATAATGAAATTGCAGGTGGCGGCTCGTCGTTTATGGGCTTTGATGTTAGCGGCGGCGGTGGTGGTGCCAGCGGCGCGTGGTGTCTGGTTCGATTTGCCGAAAACTGAGTTAAAGTGCGTCGGAGAGGAAATACGCAACGGCGGCGTGGTAGTTATGGGTAACTATTATTCCTTCTACGGCGATAGAGACCAGAATACTACCCTCAATCCCTCCATCTCCGTCCAGGTTTTTTTTTTTGAGAATTTCTATTAATTGATCAAGTTATGAGAAATTATTTTAATTTATTAATTTTAAAGGGAAGAATTATTGAATTAATGTTGATGAGATTGGTGCATATATATATGATGTTTGTTAGGTTGTATCACCATATGGAAGTAAGCTGTATAACAAAGAGAAAATGACGCATGGCGAGTTTGCATTTACAACGACTGAGACCGGAACCTACTTAGCTTGCTTTGGATTGGATGGTGACGATCACTCCGGTAAAACTGTCACAGTCGGCATTGACTGGAAAACCGGAATCGCTACTAAAGATTGGGAATCCGTTGCCAAAAAGGAAAAGATCGAGGTCTGTATACATATGCTCTCTCTCTCTCTCTCTCTCTCTCTCTCTCTCTCTCTCTCTCTAAACTGCATTCGATATATGGCTGTAGGGTCTGGAACTTGAGTTGAGAAAGCTAGAAGTTGCTGTGCGTGGAATCCGTGATAGGATGATTAATATGATGAGTAGGTAATATTCCAGACGCCGTTTCTTGATTAATTTTATAATTCTTGAATAAATGTCCTATTTTTTAGTCCAGAATTGAGTAATAAAACACAATATTCATATGGGATTTGTATTTTGTGCAGGCAAATTAGTATGATTGTAAAAAGTAACAGAACAAGTGACAGAGTGGACTGGTATGGAACGATGTCCCTCGGTTTCTGTATCGTGGTTGCGATTCTCCAGGTGTGGTATTTGAGGCGATACTTTCACAAGAAAAAGCTTATCTAGAACTTACACAAACATACTATTACAGATTTTGAACAACATAAGACGAAACTGCTGCAGTGTGGTGTTGGTCCGAATAAAATGCAGAGTAGTTTATGTTTTCTCAATTGAATCTCATGCCATTCTATTATTCAAACAATTACTACTGGTCTTCTTCATATTTAGTGCATCAATCAACAAATCATAGTATTAGAGACTGAGAACATTGTTGTATACGAAAGATGTCCAAGAATTGATTTTGTCTCGGAAAATGAAAACAAGTTGTAAGTGAAGCCCCATGTATCACGTACGTATTGTTATTTCATTGGTCGAATGCAGATGCGATCTTCTTTTGGACAAGCTCAACTCCTAGGCGGGGAGACAATCTTAGAAGCGTCTCCTACAAGAAAAAATGAAACGGAATAATAAGTGACAAACTATTCTCACTATTTCCAGGAAAAGGAGTAACGATATCAAGTAAACAACTCCACATTCTATGCACAGTGGTTAGTATACAAACTATCCTCCCAAATGTTCGAACTCCACGTTTGGAAAATCATATGCAATTTCGATCAGGTTTCGGAATGCAACCTATATTTCTTTCGATCGAGTCCTTTCACTTATTGAATTGGGACAACGTTATCTTCAATCCAACCTTATTAAATTTCAAACTAGTACATTATGCATTGAGGGATTAAACAGAAAAAAATAAAAAATGAAAGAAAGATCGAGAATAAGCAATGACTGGAAATAGCAAAAGAAAATGAACCTCTGTGCCATCGTCTCGAACTCTGGCCAACACAGGTATTTCGTACTGGTAAAGCTTCTCCCACTCTGGATTACTAGTGATATCCCTTATCTGTCATAATTCATTTCTAAATTATTAGCCGATTAAAATCCACTATTCGGAAATAGTGGAGATTTCTAATTTAGGGAAAAAATCAATCCAAACTTCACATTTTATTCCACTAATCACAAATTTCCGTCCCAACAATCTTATGCACGAACACATATTCAAGAACATTGCTTTAGAAAAAAATACAGTGGGGAAGTAAAATTGGGACCTGTAACTGGACATCGGCGAGGGAATTGGGGCCGGAGAGAGAAAAGGCAGCGTCGAGTTTTTCTTTGAGGCCATCGCACAAACAGCATCCGGGCTTCGAGTAGAGTATCAATTTCCTCGGTGTGGATGAAGAAGAAAACGAAGCCGATGCTGCGAAGAATGCCAACCTGGAATTCCGGGTGGTGGAATTAACGGCTGACGGTAAATGCCGAAAAAGTAGTGGCCTTGTTGCTGCATTTCCGATGGCAATCCTCACCGCAGCCATTCTCGGTTAGAATACCTCTCTCTCTCTCTCGCTCTCCAAAACTCTGATTTTTGTTCTTGCTAAAGTCGCGTTACTAGATCTGCGCTTTTAGCTGCAACAGTGAGAATCGCTAAAGACTTTGGTCAACAATATATAATGGATTTATAAGTAAATAAATAAATTGAAAATAGAATAAAATAGAATTTCTTTTCTGGGCCAAATCGGAAGTAAAATACTAAATTTTGTAATGTGATTGATGGGCCTAGGCCTAATAAATGGACAAGCCGAATTTTATTTCATATGGCCCATTTGTACTCAATAAACTTAATTAAGGGCCAAGCCCATTTCGTGTTGTTTACAAGTTTAATTACTGAAATGTTAAATGTCGTTTAAATTTTACTAATGTCGTTTTGACTTCGAACCTGATTTTGACGTATTTCTATTTTGATTTTGGAAAAATTCAAAACACGAAAACTGTAGTCCTTTAAGTTAGCTTTCTAATCCAACTTAAATACGCTAGATTGGATGCCGTGTGACAAAGTTATACATGAATGAGTTACATTTTGAATTTTAGATACCTCAATACATCAAAGTTGTGGGCAGTATCCATTGATTCATGTATATCTTTCTCATCCGACATTCAATTTTGGTGATTCAAGTTGGATTAGAAAACTAACTCAGAATACTACAAATTCTCTTTTTCTGATTTTGTAAAATTTGGAATTAAAAATGATCAAAATCACGTTTGAAGTCGTAACGGTATTATTAAAGCTCGAACGACATTTATCACATCCCGTTTAATTAATACTAATTCCAAGTAATTAGTCGAATTTTCTTAACTTCTCTTTAAAGTTTTGTTCTCTCAAGTTAGAGGGCTGACTAGAGCGCCAGAGGGTTTTTGCCGGATCAAAAACTCCGACGCTCTTACGTTTGTTTGTGATGCAAGTAACAATTTCGGTGTATATTCAGGGAGTATGTCGACCGTTTTTTGAGAAGATTAAGAAAAGAACACGACTCTAAGATTAGGCAAATAGAATTAAGTTCATAGTGCAGAAACACGCTTTATATATTCTCAATACGGAAACATCCAAAAAAATGGGCATATCTATTTTTATACATGTAATAAAAGCGTTGTTTGTTTAAATTAAGAAAAGATGTTGAAAATTGGCAAAGTAAATAAAATCCTGAAATTTGACATAGTGAGTAGTGAACAAAAGTGAGTGGCACACTCGGCCACTGAAAATGTCTGGATATATATGATGATGATGATGATGATCGTGCAATTATCAATGCAACAAAGCAACCAATAATTTCTTACTGCCCATTTAATTCATATAATATAAATATTATAATTCATATTATTATTATTATTATTATATATATATATTTTTGTAAAAATAGTTTGTGCTTTTCAGGGAACCACAAAAAAAAAAAAAAAAAAAAGTTGGAATCATAGCAAGAAAGCACCAATATTATTAATTTCACTACCTCATTGATTAAATTGTCCTCCAAGTGCTCTATTATTTTATTGCACCTAATAAAATAAAACCAGCAAAAAAATTGTAGAGTGTAAAAGAATTTAAATAAACGGTCTTAATCATTTAAAGGGTCGATATCTGGATATTAAATTTGCATATATTTTTATTATTATTAAAGTATGGTGTCATTTGGGTCATATTCTAAAAGTTTTTATTCAGGGGATATACATTCATGCATGAATTATTTGACTGAAACTGCCCATTTTAATATTCCTTTAATAAAGGCCCTTTATTTATTTTATTTTATTTGTGTTTGTATGTATATACTCCATGTATATAGTAAGAAAATTTCCCACGCAACAAAATACTTTGAGCAAATTAAAAAAGAGGAAAAATTCCCTACTCACCTGGATTCATTTAATTATTTAGCCCAGACCTGTGGAGCAAACAACTCCATACACATTTTATTATATTTATTTATTTATTTATTCGAGTCATCTTTTTATCTATATTACGTATAGCGTGGTCTTCATTAGTCCGTCCATGCAATGTATTATTGCAACTTTATTCAATTTTCTTTTTAGTGAAAACGATACTACCAAAAGCAACTGCTTTCCTATCTCGGATTATTATTGATTCATGAAATTGGCTAAACTAAAACATCATAAGAACTAATTTAATAGACTAAAGGCTCGTTCGATTACTGTTATAAGGTTTTACGGATTAAATAGTGGGGGCAGTAACATGCTAGGTTGACGAGATTCACACTTCTTTAAATCACTGTTAAATACTATTATTTCATTAAATTAATTAGTAGCACCCCTCCCTGAACCAAATGAACCAAACGTCTTAGTGACTAGATAATTAATTAGTGTGTAGAGCATTAGTACAATCTCATCAATCAAAACTAATCTGATTATAGGTAACAGCACGAGCCCTAATCATTAAAAAAAATATGTTATAAGATATACTACATTAATTGCCAACCACAATTTACATAATTATCCTTAAAAATTAATGAAAAATATAATAAAATGAGAAAAGTTATATAATCTTGGAAAAGAGAAGTCGAAATTTGTAAGCCATTTTCGAAACTAAAGTGTCCACTCGTCATCCACAAAAGAGAAAAAGATAAGCCTACACATATTGCAATAACAAAGCAATGTAATAATAATTTGTGGTCCAACATTTTTAAACAATCACTTTGCAAATAAACACAACATTAAATTAACTTAAACATAAAGCCCTAATTCACGTCTTTGATGATCAAATCACATTTTAAATTTATATATTTTTTGGGCAATTCTTTTTAAAAGATAGATATATTATAGTAGCAAAGATTCTTGCTGCATTTTTATGGTGATGGATAAGGGAATCTTAAAGGTGAATATAAAGTTAGTGCCACCATGCATGTTATATTCAAAATAATGTAGGTTTCTTCCAATATTCTTTTTTATAATATTATATATACATATACTACTCTTGGTTTTATTTGTGTATATATAGAAAAGGCCAGAAGCCCATTTTTGTGTATCCCATATATTCATTATACTAAGTACCATTTGGGTATTGAAAAAAAATAATATATTTTTTAGAGTGATCAAGAGAGAAAATAATTAATTATGGGTGAAGAAGGAGTTTTCAATAAGATGAAGCCTTATTTGGCAATGATATTCCTTCAATTTGGTTATGCTGGAATGTACATAGTTACCCTTGTTTCATTCAAACGTGGCTTTAGCCATTGGGTTTTTGTTGTCTATCGCCATGCCGTTGCTACCCTCGTTTTTGCTCCGTTTGCATTTTTCCTCGAAAAGTACTCATCGATCAGACATCATTTATTTGTTGAATTAATTTTTCTTCTATGTATTATAAATTAAGTAGTAATTATTAACATGTTTTTTTATATATATTATTTTGCAGGAAAAGAAGGCCAAAGATGACAATATCAATATTCTTCAAGATTATGGTGCTTGCTTTCTTGGAGTAATGCCCTTAATTATTAAACACCTCATAATACTTGTACTTAATTACTTAATTAATTTCAAAAGTTGGTGATTAATTAATTGCACTACTACTTTTACATGTTCTTTCTCTACATAATTTTATGCATGCATGCATGCATGTATCGAGATCAGTATGTGTATGTTGGATTATATTATTGAGTGTTTATTAGTATAAATAATAAAAGAATAAAAAATGAAATAATGAATCAGGCCGGTGCTGGACCAGAACTTGTACGGTGTAGGAATACAGTACACGTCAGCAACCTTTGCATCAGCTACTGTTAATGTTCTTCCCGCCATCACCTTCATCATGGCCCTCATTTTCAGGTATATATATCTAATAATCTATATCTATTTAAATAAATAAAAACAGTTTTTGGAATAATTTATATGCTAGGTTATTAGAATATATATAAAAAATAAACCCTAATGGATTATATTAATATTAATAATGAAGGTTGGAAAAGGTGAATCTGAAAAAGATGTACAGTTTGGCAAAGGTGATTGGTACGGCGGTGACAGTGACAGGAGCGATGGTGATGACACTGTACAAAGGCCCCGCCGTCGATATATTCCGCAACGGCAGCCACCACCAAGCCGCCGCCGGTTCCGCCGATCAGCACTGGGTCGCCGGCACTATTATGTTGCTCTCTTGTATTGTCGGCTGGTCCGCCTTCTTTATCCTGCAAGTACGTTATAACTCATTTAACTTTATTTTAAAACCCAATTATATTATATTATATGTCAATTCAAATTAAAAATAAAAATAAAAAATATATCTTAATATCTTACACTAATTGGAATATATATATATATGTGTATATACAGAACAAGACATTGGAGGAGTACCCTGCTGAGCTGTCACTGACGTCATTAGTTTGTTTCATGGGAACATTGGAAGGAGGAGTGGCGGCTGTAATAATGGAACGCCGTAAGAGTGCTTGGGCTATTGGTTTTGATTCCAGGCTTCTAGCAGCTTCTTATTCTGTATGTACTGAGAATTTATTAATATAGATATATAGTATCCAATTATTATATATAGATATATAATTAATTATTTGCAACAATAATTAATTGATTTGAATTACAGGGGATAGTGTGCTCAGGAATAGCATACTACATGCAAAGTGTAGTGAACAGGGTTCGAGGTCCGGTGTTTGTGACAGCGTTTAGTCCTCTCAGCATGATTATTACTGCTGTGTTGGGTGCCCTAATTTTGTCTGAGCAAATTCATCTTGGAAGGTATATATATATATACATTCGTAAAATTTATATTTTTTTTATATATTTTATGATATGTTACATATATATTTAATTTTTAAATGTAATATTGGATGCAGCTTAATCGGAGCGGTGATAATAGTATTTGGGCTGTACTGTGTGGTTTGGGGCAAAAGCAAAGAGAATAATAATAAACCAGGTGGTTCAGACAAATTGGCATCATCAGGAAAAGGCGGCCAAGAATTGCCTATAGTTTCGGACAAGAATTTTCACGATGTTATTAATACTAATGGTGCGAAACCAATGATTCGTGACAAGAATTCCTTACACCACCAACAAGAGCCATGATCTATGTGATGAAGCAGCAATAATATTTACCACTGCGCCTACCACTCTATTTATATATAATCCCATTATCTTTTGTACGTACTATAATTGTAATAACCTAAATATGTTGCAACTTTTGATTATTCATTCTAATTAATGTTCAACCGCATATATATATATTTCTCTTACCACTCTTTTATTATTATTATTATTATTATTATTATTATTATTATTATTATTATTATTATTATTATTATTATTATTATTATTATTATTATTATTATTATTACTATTATTATTAGGGTTAATATGCTAGAGCTCCCTAGTTGGAAACATAATTATATATGAGTTACAACCCTAATATTTTTTTCTGAACTAAATCCTTTTTACAAAAATAAATATGACCCACATCCTTTATTTTTTTAATTCCAAATTTGCCCTCAACTTAAATCCATAAATTCTACACGTTTATCCCAGATCTATTTTTCTTATTTTCTTCCCTCTTCTCTCTCTCTCGTTCTCCCTCTCTCGTTTCTCTTTCTCTCTTTCTCCGTCTCTCGTTCTCCGTCTCTCGTTTCTCTTTCTCTCGCTCTCTCTCTCCATCACTTCCCACAATTATTGAGGGGGCGATGGCTATGGCGCAACTATGGCGGTGGAGGGGCGTTAATAAGGGAATGGTTATGGAGGCATAAGGTTACGACGACTATGGTGGTGGAGGTCAGATCTACGGCGGGTGGTGGCTAGGTTTTAATTTGGTCGACGGCTAGGATTTAATTTGGTCGACGGCTATGGCGGCTAGGGTTTAATTTGGTCAGATCTACGGTGGATGGTGGTTAGGTTTTAATTTGGTCGACGGCTAGGGTTTATTTCGGTCAACAACTATGGCGGTTAGGGTTTAATTTGCTCGGCGGCTAGGGTTGGTGGACGATTAGGTTTTTGAATGTAGGGTAGGGTTTATTTTGGTCGACGACTATGACGGCTAGAGTTTAATTTGGTCGATGGCTAGGGTTTAATTTTGTTGAAGGCTAGGATTGGTGAATGACTAGATTTTTGCAGGTATGATTTGGCAGCGTATACTCACTGGAATTGTGCTCGTGTTATCAGTTATTTATGCTGTACTAGTAAGTTTTATATACACTTGTAGGCCTTGTTTGGTAATTCTTTGGTAATTTTGATTAGATTTGCGCCTTGTTTGGAAATTGTGATTTACGTTTCAATTCCATGATTTAAAAAAACTAAAATATGGACCCGGATTTTAATCGAAAATATGGAGGGTATGTACTATCTGTTTCTTTTCTTGCTTTTTACTTACCTATAAATCGATTTTTTTTTTTTAGTTAAGTTCCTGTTTTCGTAATATGCAGGTATGCGTTGTTATAAAAGCGGTGGTTCATCTCGGCGATGATGCGTATTTTGTGGCAGTAATGGCGTGGGTATTGCTGATAGTGATTTTGGGATACTTCGTTCATGTATTAGACAATGTTATAGAGACGGTGTACGTGTGCTGTGCGATAGATAGAGACAGGGGAGAGGTTTATAAACAAGATGTGCATGAAGTTTATGTTCACCTTTCAATCAGTAGAAGTCATAATTATAGGGCTGGTTTTGCTACAAGAACTCCACTTCTTGTTTAATGTAAATCTCAGCTTCATCTGTGTTGTGTATTATTATCTGTAAGTTTTATTTCTGTGTTGTGCATATCTGAGATTTTATTTTTTTAATTTTTGCACTGAACTTTGTTGAATAGTACACCATAGTATACCATAGTGTACCATAGCATACCATAGTATTCTTTAAACTCTGCTGTATTATTTGACAAAAACGAAACTATGGATGTCTACAGATGATTACGGCCGGAAAAAAAAAATTTAAAAAATCATCATTTTCGAAATTACGTAGAAAAAAAAAATAGATTAGAGAAACGTATTCCGTGTAAAAAATAAAATAACAAAAATGCTAAATGCAAATTAAAAATTTTAAATAATACCATAGTACACCATAGTACATCATAGAATATTTACAATCTGATACAATTTCGAATTTGTGAGCAGAGGGGCATTTTTGGAATGAATTATGATAAAGGATGTGAATCAAATTTTAATTAGACGTGTCTTTAGTTCTAATAAGGTTTGTCACCAGGGACTTATATCTTAAGACCGTACCCCTTATTATTATTATTATTATTATTATTATTATTATTATTATTATTTATTATATTTATTATTATTATGATGTTGCATCTTATGCTACTGGATGTATTTGTATAGATGCACAATTAATATTATCCAACAAATTTACAGGGTAAGGGGTGTTTTCCTTCCGAATTAACCTTGAAAAAATGAAAAAATAAAAAAAAATTATTAAAGATGAGGTTAAAGGAAGCCCTATACATTTGGGCCAACCTATGAGAAATAAGTGGTGGGGCAAGCAAGGCCCAATTAGAAACTGGGATTTGATTTCAAATCTCAATCATTTAATCTGATTCTTCTGATGAGATATATGTTACCTTAATTAACCCCCATTCATTTTCTTCTTTCAAAATCGGCCGATTTTTCATCTTGATTCAAACACATAATAATTTGTGCTCTAATAATCTCTTCTGAAAATGGCGATGTGGGTATTCGGGTACGGGTCACTGATATGGAAAGCGGGCTTCAATTACGATGAACGCCTCGTCGGTTTCATCAAAGACTACCGCCGTGTCTTCTTCCAAGGTTTTTATTTTTCATACATAATTAACATATATACATACATACATGTTTCTGAATTTTGATTTAATTAGAGTTGGATTTTCATATGCAGGAAGCACCGATCACAGAGGAACTCCACAATTTCCAGGCAGAACTGTCACTATTGAGCCTGCAAAGGGGGAATTATGTGTAACCCTCCTCTTTCTCTACTTATTTAAGTATATGCTTATAACTGTCACAATTATCGGTAAACATTAACTTGTATTTGTTATACAGTGGGGTGCTGCTTACAAAATTACTCGCAACGAAGATCAAATCACTGCTTTGGAGGTATTCATTTTACTTCTAATTTTACAACAACATACATTATTTATTATTCGACATATTGTCGCCAATGCAATAAATGATTCTACCTAGTATATAATGTTCGTCACAGCATCTTGAAGTCAGGGAGAAGCAGTACGACAAGAAGGCTTACGTTGATTTTTTCACCGTACGTACGTCTGCTTTTATTTCAGACCAATAGCCTAAGTTTTATTGAAATCAACTAATTTTTAAAAGTTGCGATGCATCTAAGTACATATCACGAGAGTAAATTATCGAACATTTGTTGCAGGATCTTACTGATTCAACACCTGTTATTTCCAATGTTATGGTGTAAGTTTCAGATGAGCAATCTTACATTGTTTTTATTGCGATTACTTATGTATCGAAACTTACGGTTTAACTGCTCAGATACATAGCATCTGCAGACAAGAACCTCAACAACAACTATTTAGGACCTGCCTCACTTGAAGAAATTGCCATGTATGTATGTATATATATATATATATATATATATATTCTTTTCTGTCACATCATTAAAAGTTATCTCGTTATAATATTTCCGTTTTCGTTTTTCAATGTGCAGCCAAATAGTTAGGGCAGAAGGCCCCTCGGGACCAAACAGAGAGTACCTCTTCAAACTAGAAAGTGCGCTTAACCAAATAGGTAATGATGTCTAACTTCATATCCAAGTAAAAATTGTTTCCATTTTCTTTTGTTGTCTTGTCGAAACTTCATCCTTTATTTTCGTTTTAAAATCTAATTGTCGTTGTAGGATGTGAAGACAAACATGTCACTGATCTGGCAAACGAAGTGAGGCGCATACTCTTATTGCAAGGAGAATTCATTGTATAATGGTGTATTTTAGCAGACCTTGAATTCATGCCTTTGAACTTATTAGAACTTTACATTCTTGATTCTTGTACTAATATTGAGATACTGAGATGTAACATAAATGATTCTTAACAAGTTCTTTGTTTACAGCATTTGCTTTCTTACACAACTAGTTGATGACATTATCTTGCATACTAGTTTAAGAATGTTTATGGGATTGACAAGATTAATTAAATTAGCTAAACATTGTATCAATCTGTAAATTAAATAATCCAAATATCCAATGCCATTTACACGTACACCTATGTACATTTAAAGATCAAACAACAGAAGTAACAAATATGAATTTGAGAGTATATACAACACACAAATACCAAGAAAGTCGGATCATTAGAATTTACACACACGAATAAAACGCCGTCTTTACAGGACATTTAAAGCTACTTTGCTCGAGTGATGAACCCCAAGTGCAGCAAGTTTTAGAATAGCACGACCTTGGTACAAACTGCAATACAAACAAACACACACATTAGCAACCAGTAATCAAGTATTGATTAATTGTCTACTAAAACTTCAAGAAACAAACGGACAAAGCTCATGCAAGTTCAATTTTATTATTTCCCCTTTCTCTTGAATTTTCACTTTCCTGACAAACAGAAAAAGGCGACTCATATGAAACAAACAAACCATCTCTCTTTTAGTCACTACATTTTTACCTAGCTAAAGATAGAAACAACCATTTACGTATCCCTCCTTTCAGCAGCTATTTGATCTCTTCCAATTTTAATCCTCATTTCAGTGTACATCAATACACAACTCTTAAATATATTTCAGTGAATTTCCTAATTTTACACCTAATCCTATGAGGCAGTCATGTAATTGTGACAATGTCATCGACTTATCACATACAATAGATAAGAAATACTAAAATCAGGATTGAACAGGGCAACAAATCAAGTTCGATGTCATATAAAATCATGAAACTTTCTTAAAGGGATACAGGGGAAACTTCAGTTCTAGAATACTTAGAAGTTACCTTGCAAGAGCAAGACCCCATGTAGCTAGGGTGTAAAACATCTTTCCAGCATGCCAAATGTTTAGCATTTTCTCTACCTTGTTTATACCTCCAAGCGCTTTCATCAAGGCTGCAAGCGATAAAAATATTCATGAGATGAACATGCCATCAAATCAAAAAGAAAAAAATCGTTATGAAGCATTCATATGTCTATAATAACAGCACATTTTTACTGCTCTCTGAACCAATCTAAAATGAATGATCAGGAAAGAGCTTCCGAACCCTACCTTTCTGCAGCTCCAATGGAGTCAAATTCTGCAAATACATAATATCATTGTCAAATAAATGACATGAATAGTAATTAACTACTTACTAAGGGCAAAAATCGAGCAAGATCAGGTTATATACCAGAGAGTTCGGGTTTGCCAAAATGCATTTAGCCATAAAGGTAGCAACTCCATCCACTACATGTTCCTCGCTAACAATTACATAATTTTCACTGTCGATTCCACTTTTCTCTTCAATTTTAATAGGGACCTCGGGAACCCACACCCACCAACTTGGCTCTTCGTGATCAACATTAATCAAAACTTCTGCTTTTTCCAAATCTTTACCTGATAAGCAAAAAGTCTTCCAAATATTAACATACACTCACTTCCAAAATCTTGCAAAACAATATCGACAATTTCCACCGTAGATTTCTAAAGATCGTCACCTCTAATGCTAACCAGATACATGTATTGTTAGAATTGCAACAAGCATATCATATTGAACTAGAAGCACAAGATAAGTAATACGAAATATGTAAATTAATACAATATGCAAACTTTGAAAGATTATGTTATATGAGTTCTCTATGATTGTACCTAGATGATAACTTGCTCCAGCACCATAATTTTGATCTATACCTGATGGCTCATCAAAGGGGAATGTGCTAGTAGATTTTTGACGGAGGGATACAAGTTCGTTCAGGAAACTCTCGGAATTGACAGCATTCAAAAGCCGATCATGAAGCTGCAAATTCATTACAAATTCAGATAAAAATCACCATCAATTTCCCAAAATATATATATATTAAAAAAAAACTAATTTTTTTTTTCGTACATCCGACGGGCAATCATGTAACAACGTAGGTGAACTAGATATCTCCTGGAGGAGATTGAGATTTTTCTCGAGCAATTGACGGAGCCGTTCATTTTCAGAGCTTAGTATTTCAATATCCGAATCCCCTCCTTTCAGGATTTCCGGCGGCGACACCGTCGTCTGGTGATTGTGGTGATGGCAGCGTTCTACGGCAGTCCACGCTACATCAGCCACCTCCAATACGGTCTTCGCCACCTCCATCGTAACATGGCCCGCCATTTTTTTCTGTATCTTGATTGTCTCTCTCCCTCTCTCCGTGCACCTTAGGGTTAGGGTTCGGACGATTCTGATTATTATGCTTACAAACCGTTTGTGTGTATATGCCGCTACTAATAATGAATAATGAATTATAATGATTGATTCTTGCCCAAATTTGGTTGTTTTCGCTTAAAATACTGAAATGGCGAAAGTGCCCCTGTAGTAATACATAATAATAATTATACAAAATATTAACAAAAAACTTATAGTTGACTATGTTAAAATAAAACTTGTTATTATATAAAAGAACCCTATTGTTACTCAACTATAATTTCATGGAATTCAAAAAAAATCTGAATCTCATATTGAAATAAAACAATCCTTTCAAAAGGTAATCAAACATACTGTTCTTGGTGATGTTTAAATACAACATTAATTCAAATTAAAGAACCAAAAATTACAATGACAGTACAAACTTCATAGCCAAACCTAACATAAGCATAACAGGAAAGCTACTTAAGTGGTTCATTAAGGAGCAAGAACCGGAGGAACCACCGGAGGCACTTCCGGCAGGTCCACCTACCGGTGCAAACCCTTGAACTGCACCAGTAGAAGGCACCACATTAGGATTTGATGTCGGAAAACCACCCGATTCCGATGGTGATTGTGCCGGAGAAAAGAACGTGTTTGGGACTACAGTTGGTGGTGCACTAAGCAAAGGAAATAGCTGTGATCCTGCATAATCGTACGTATTGTGTAATCGATGATTAGTCGGCTAATTAAGAATATTAATTAGTGTTGTGTGAAGACTAATGATTAAATTAACTTTACCAGGGCATCTAGGTTGGAGGGATGTGGACAACCTGCATATGAAAACAAGAAACAGAGTCAAATTGTAATTGCTAATGAAAGACAAATCGAAGAAATATCGAATCTCATAAAATTATTACAAGTATTTAAAAAAAAAAAAAAAAAAAAAAAGCATACGTAGTAGAAATGGTTCCATTAACAAAGCCGCTGTAACTGCAAGAAGTGACATTGCATCCAGCGCTGGATAGTTGTGCCGTAAGGTTTCCTAACATGAGATTGCTATTTCTGCATTGCATGCTCGAACAAGAAACTGCCAGCGAAGCAGGCATGCAATATAAACTGCAATAAATCCGAGTCATTTAATTAGATATTTCTCTAACATATAGACGTGGAGAAGTGTATCTACATGTAAGAGATAACTTAGAACTCACTTGCGACTCCCTGGTCCACAACTGCACTGCACACAATGACTAGCAGCAATAGCATAACTCCCGTTGGGCACAACCAATCCATAGTCCTTTGCGTATGTTGGGAAATTTGACGCACACGCTGTCAATATTCATAATGTGGTTATTCATTTACAACTAATTATTTATCGAAAACAATAATTAATAAGATGCCCGAAGGTAAACCTATAGCTGCATATATATATCAATCAAGAAGTTACTATATAACCACATGTCTACCGACATTTTTCGGACCACATAACTTATAATCACATAGTAAGAAACTTATAATCGCATAACTAATGAAGAGACTGCTTGACATTACACCACAAATCAAGAACAAGTATGTAAATTACAAGTGTCTATCAAGAACAATCCAACAAATTATATAGTTGATCAAAAGGTTTAAAAACACCAATATGATATGTTTAGGTTCATTTAACAAACATTTATTACAATCCCCTGCAAATAAGGAGATGCAATCATTACAGCAATACCTTAATCAACCCAATATTGGTCCTAAATACATCATTAATTAACAAAATTAGGGCAGAATATATCATCATCACTAACCAGAAAGGGGAATCGCAAGAATATCGCCATCTTCGATATCGGCACTGCCGAGAGCATTCACATTCATCAAATCACTCACGGTAGTGACGTACCTCGCCGCAATTCCGGCCAATGTGTCGACATCCTTAACAACGTACGACATATACACCGCCGGCAAGTTGTTGTCGGTGTTGTTGAAACAGGTGCAGGGCAAAGGAATGCTGAGCTGAGTGCCCACGCCAATGACGGAAGGATCTGAGAGGTCGGCCTTGGGGTTGGCTTCCTTAATCTGGTCGGCGGAGACAAGGCCGCCGTAGACGGCGGAGGAGATGGAGGAGAGGGTGTCGGAGGGGCGGGTCTTGTAGGAAACGGTGCCGGATTTGCGGATGCCGTCGATGCAGGAGCAGGGGATGGGTACTCTGAGGAAGAGCTGTGAAGGGAGGATGTGGTTTTCTACGTCGGGGTAGGAAATGACGATTGCGTTGGTTAGGAGGAGAGAGATTGGGTCGACGGAGAAGAGGGAGGCGACTTCGGATACTTTTAGGTCGGTGTAGAGTGTGTAGCCGACTAGGGCGGAGCAGGTGTCGGAGTTCGAGCAGGGTTCTATGGTGGATTTGGGGGCGGCGCGTGGGAGGAACGCTCCGATTGTGAGGAGGAAAGCGACTGTGGCGGCTCGGAGAAGTGCGGGCATTTTTGTTGAGAGAATATTATTCCGGTGGTCTCAAAGCTTCGTCGAGCTTCTTTCTCTCTCTCACTGTGTGCTGTGTGTTGAGTGTGTGAGAGAGAGAAGACAACGGAAAGTTTTTTGGAAGAGTATTTTGAAACAGAACACTCTGCGAGTGTATGTGTGTGAGAGAGAGAGAATACATTTTCAGACTTGAAAGTTGAAACACTAGTCAGCTTCTCGATATTCGAGCCGAAGACAAGACCATTCTACGCTTTTACTACTTTGCCCTCTCGCATTTTACTTTTTTTTGATAATATTATGTTAAATAAAATTATTAAATAATCATGGTAAAACAAAAAAGTATTGAATAATTGTCAATAAATTAAAATTACTCCTGCATCAGTATTTAAAAACATTTTACCCGACAAAATCAAACAAATTCGTTTAGAAAAGTTGGTTGTCGTGTGCATAAAAAACAGACCATGAGAAAAAAAAAAAAAAAAAAAAAAGAGAATATATATTTTATTGTTCATGAATATTATATCTAGAAACTCGTTTTTAATTTTTTAATTGTACACCTGGTAAGGGTATTATTGGAAATTGGCAAGTATAGCTTTTGCCAAGTTAAAGAAGTGTGCCCCACTAGTAGTACCATTCTTTAGGCTTTGTATTTGTCTTGGGTCTGTGTCTGTCTGTCATAAAATATTTATTTTAAACCCTTGTTTTCCGACACCGGCCGAGATTAAGTTGATCGGCAATATCCCAAGTGGGCCCCACGCCTTCAATTCAAATAGGTTTAGCCCATTTACCCGACTTGTTAGCGGATCAAGTGCATCTGTATTCGGGTTCTATATATGGGTCCGAAACTGTATAATTTCAGCCCAATTTGTTTGTATTATTGGGGCCTGCAATTGGGTTGGTCTGAAACTAAAAATTATTATTTTTCATACTAACCATTATTAGAATTTTATTATTATAAAATATAATAGAAAAAATGACATGTAATTTATTTTATATTAATAATATATTAAGATAAATAAATAACAAAACTTGTAAACCAGCTTGTGAGCTGATGAACAACTAAAAATGAGCTCGTACTCTACTCGTCAGAAAGCTTGAGATCGAAAATTCAAATTCAAGTTCGAGCTTCTGTCGAGCTGGTTTGGCTCATTTACACTTGTAAGAAAACAAATGACTTCAAATCAAATATCACTTATTTTTTATTTCAAAGGTAGAAGTGAATTGGAACTTTTCACATGTAGAATTTTAAATAAATCTCAGGCAATATCAAATTTTAATTAATAAATTTGGGACTTCCGTAAATATCCCTCGTCTACTGAAACATACGGGAAGTCAATCACCTACGAAAATACACTGAGGGGTAAAAGAGTAAATAAACAGGATATGGGCCATTGCATGTAATTATTTTGTTGTACGACTGGAAAACTCCAAAGGCCCAATTAACGAGGGCTCATTTCTGACAATTAGGGCTCTTAAATCGATGCCCTTTCACTTTCGTCACGTTATTTTCTTTCTTGTTGTGATATGGGTTAAATTAATTTTAGATCATTCTAAAACATTTAATTAATTAATTAGCCTCCAACTAAAATTAATATATTGCAGGAAAATAAAAATAATAATTCCTGGAAAAGTAAATTATTTTCCGCTTGCAAATCAGACAAGAAGACTTAATTGTTATTTCTAAAAAAAAAAAAAGAATTGTTTGTCCATTTTCTTTAATCTGACAATAATTAAAGCTAGGTATGAATATAGCTGCAAAAATCAAACTATGCTTGTGAGTTGTGACCTGTGAATATTTTTGTATGGTTCCCTTAAAAAGCAATTCCAGATATATACAGTGGTTATTACCATATTATTTTATTTGTAATATAATTGGGTACACCTCAAGAAACATTTAAATATACCAAATGTATATCAAGAATACCCCTTTCTCATTAAGCTATCACATCATTATTAATCTTTATAAACATAAAAATAAATAAAAAAAATCAAATAACTGTGAGTTGGAGTTGGAGAGTAAAGTTCACTTATGAAATGACTGGTTAACTAAATGAACTGTTTGTGAAATGACTAATTAACTAATTACTATAATCTAACCATCATTAAGGTGTAGTAAGTAAAATGTAGATGTAAAGAGAGGGCCGGGCCGGGCCTAGTAGATGGGTAGATGGATAGGTATTGATTGATGTGGCGAAAGAAATGAAGAAAAGATATGTGAGAGTGATGGACAGGGAAAAGATGGTACAATGAAAAGATCCCTTAAACTGATATATTTACTATTTTGGTCCTTTGATTCCCGTGACCTTTTAACCTCTACATGCATATAAATTATACTTAAAAAGATCATCTTTTTCCCATTACTTCTCCCACCTCTTGCCCCCTTCTTTCTGCCCCCCCAAAAAGAATACACATCATATACACAAAGTACAAGTGTTGTTGTATTATTGTGGAGGAAGAAAAACAAGAAATGGGGAGTTCAGATTCATCATTTATGAGGCAGATAATAAGTAGGAAAACAACATCAAAGAGGTGGGGTGGTGGTGGTGGTGGTGGTGGTGGTGGGGTGGAAATGGAGGAGGAGGAGAATATGATGTATTATGGTGGGGGTGGTGGTATGTTGATGATGATGAAGAAGAAGAGAGTAATGGTGGCTGTGGATGAAAAAACACAGAGTAAACAAGCAATGATGTGGGCACTTACTCATGTTACTAACAAGGGAGATATTCTCACTCTTCTTCACATTCTCTCTCCTTCTTCTTCTCACAACTCTTCTTCTCCTTACCTTGCCACCTCACTCGGTTCTCTCTGCAAAGCCTCCAAACCTGAGGTCACCTTTTTTTTCTTCTTTTTTAATCATTATTTATTAATATTTTTTGTATTTGTTTAATGATGATGATAATTAATATGCAGGTTGAAGTAGAAGCACTGGTAATCCAAGGACCAAAGTTGGCAACGGTTATGAGTCAAGTTAAGAAGCTGGATGTTTCTGTGCTGGTCTTAGCTCAGAAGAATAACCCTTCTTCATCACTTCATTGGTCAGTCAACTTTTTTACTCTAAATTTTATTCAAAAAATTGCTAATATTTTATTTATTTCATAAAATAATAATAATTTATGTAAAAAAAATTGCAGCTTGTGTTTCAAAAGCAGCAGCACAGAAGAGTTTGTGGAGGAGTGCATAAACAGAGTGGAATGCTTGACAATAGGAGTCAAGAAACAGAGCAATGGAGTTGGTGGCTACCTTATCAGCACCAGATGGCACAAAAACTTCTGGCTTTTGGCTTAACAGACTCTAAATCAAGATTTGCTGTAGAAATTAATTAATCTTTGTATTTCTCTATGCTTTCTGTAATTTATTTGCTCTCAATGAATAAAAATAAATAAATAAAACTTAAACACCGTCATCATGTATAGATTGTAGGCATCCCCTGTTCATCTATTAATCACTATGTTTAAAAACAAGAAACAGTACATTTCATCGAGGGGGCGACGAATCTTACTTAATTTTTCCATACGATCCTCGGAAGAACAAAAAAAAAAAAGATAGGGAAAATAAAGAAAAAAGAACTCTTCTTTGATTTCTACAGTAAATATCTATAACCAGTTCCCTCTGGTGATTAGAAGAAATTAAACTTTGTCGTCTAACTTATCGTTAATTAACGGAAGCAACTCCATTTTGCCCCTTGGAGTTCGAGGTGTGCGAGGGGTACCGGGTGTTTGGTGTGAGAGCATGTGCCTCACGTATCCATAGAAGGTACAACCGATCAGCGTTATGCTACAACCAACCGCATTCATCATGGAAATTGGGTTCCGGAAGATCAGCCACGAACATGTCACAGCCACAGCAACCTAATCACCGAGCCATGAAAATCGAATTTCAAGAATAGTTACAAAATTGTAAATTTATAAACAAAAAAAAAAAAAGAGTCAACAAATGACTGACCTTTAGATTTCCAGCAACATTGAAGGTGACAGCTGTCGTCGAGTGGATGACGTAAAAGATAGAGAAGTTGAGGCAAAAGGCCATGACTCCAGAACCGAAGATTATTACAAGAGAAGAGAAAAGAGAGGGGCATGTATAAAACCATGCAACGACCCCCGATCCTTCCAGTAGCAGAGCTGGCACAGCCAGGATCATAGTAGCAAATGGTGCCATGTAGTACACTGTGTTTATACTGCACTTAATCCAAAACAGATTTCTTAATATTATATACGAGGCAATTCGTGACTAGAGTGTGTGGTGTTTGTTGTATAATGAATTTATTTTGCCTCGTTAAACAAATAAAAAGCTCAAGAATCTAATATTGTATATTTGTATTGACATGCTTGATTGAATCCTAACGAATAATTAGATCCTCGTTATTCGGAAAAAAACGAAAGAAATGGAATTCTAATCCATTCTTGTTTCAGACAAGCATAAAATGAGTTTCCATTAATTCGATTATTACCTGTCAAATTTGTATCCATGCAAGAGAGATTCAGCAAGAATAGTCTTCGTAGAAGTAGCAAGACAACCGAATAAAGCAGCACAAAACCCTAGCATGTTAAAACTGAGCTCTGTGACAGAAGTGAGTAAAATCCCTCCAACAATAGGAACCAACGAAGCCCAAATTCTCCACTCAAAGAACTTTTTCCAGATTAGCCACTGCAACAAAACTGTTTTCGAAAACGAAAAATCATTTTCGTTGTACTTGATTATTATTGTTTATAAACCAAACCACCTTTTACCGATTATTAATTGGCTACTAGAAAAAACTCACCTGTTGTGGCAGGGGTGAAAGACTTGATAGTTTGCATGAATGAAACTGGAATATACCGTAAGCTCACATTTCCCAAAACTATGTTGATACAAAATATAAACGACATGGGGAATATTCTCTTCCAGCGATCTTCAGGTTCAACGGTAATTAGCGGCTTTAGTCTTAGCACTTTAATTACCACAAATGCACCGATCGCAGATGATATAAAGTGAATACACGACACAGTCAATGGAAACTTAAAATCCAGTTTCTGCAAAAAGAAAAAATGAATATTTGGTAAGAAATAACGATTACCTCGAAAAAGATTGTCGGTGCTCGATTGTATTCATTTATTAAGCTAAACAAGACCAGATACATTCATCATATATAACTTCAAATTAATGACAATTCATTTAACTGGAAATTCATCTCAATCTATATGTCGGCTGCATTATTCGGAATTGAAACATAAAAAATTCAAAGATGAATTCATGGTGAAATTAATCCAATAATAATAATCATAAATGTTGAAATAATTAAAATTTGGGCTTAAATTCCATCGCAAGACTAGCCTTTCTCAATTTTATGACAATAATAACCACATTTTCCAGCTAAAAATCAATTCAATTTGAATAAAATAAAAATAAAACACACCGAGATCGACCGGAAAATTCATGAACAAAACAAAATTTCAGCAAAAAATTAAAAAAATGATTGATGAAGAATGAATCAATAGTTGTAACTGGTAGCGAAGAATGAAACCTGGAAGATCCATTTGTTCATGATGATAACAGTGACATTGAAACCCCACCATTGAAGAATAGCAAGTACGGATCGGATTACACTCCACTGGCACAACCGACTCTCCTCCATAACTTTTCAAACCAAACCCCGATTCCTGATTTCCGATAAATCAAAATCAAACCTTCACCCAGAAACAGGGGATTAAATCAAATAAAATCGAAACTGAAAGAGGGAGGAGTTGGGAATTTCAATAATTTTGGGGGTGCAAGTGTAACGGCGGTGGAAGGGGAAGGCTGTATTCAGCCTGGTGGAGAAGTGTCATAATAATTAAGGGGTGTATATGTAAAGGTCTTTTTAATTTTGGGTGTTTAATTAAATTTAATTAAATTAATTTAATTTTTGGTACTTAGTTTTGATTTTGGGAAAGAACTCAAAACGTGTGGGGATTTCTCGTCTACCTTCACGCCTTAAGGACCTCCCCCACACACCCCCCATACACATACTACACACAATCTGCGTGCAATTGTATGTGCGTAATGTGTGTGTAATTGTGTGTATATATAATATATATATATATTTAATTAATACTTTCAAATTAGTGGAATATACTAATAATTATGGAAATTAAACATTGGCACAAAATTAGTATATGATTTAATTAAATTACTTGAAGGAATGAGTGTGGGACCATTTACTGCAGACTTCCAAGGTTTTTGGGTCAAAATTGGTCTAATTAGTAATTATTATGATGCCCTTTTAATTTAATAAATGTAGCCAATCCATTATTTTAAATAATAATACATGAAATATGCATTATTTTTAGTATGTCAAATTAATATATGTTACACATTTACAAAAAATTGAGTGAGAGATCCATCATTCATGTAAAAACGCATCTTTTTTCATTGTAAAAGAATATCCAATAAATATTTTCTGGAAGATACCTTGAACGTGCAATAATACTATTTCTTGTAATAAAAACCCTACTAAATTATATTGCCATATGTTATTATAGACAAAAAGAAAACGTCAAAACAAGGCCATCTCTGCTAATCTTGATTATTCAGTCGTGCTTGCTTAGCTAATACTGATCATTAAAAGCGAAGTTAATTAATTAATGTAATTTGATTGATAAATAGTTACTAAAAGTTGTGTCCATAAATCAAGCTAGAGAAATTAGTATGAAGCAATGCACAAAGATGGTGCATGTGCAGTTAATACACGAAACTTGGTGTGTCAATTCAATAAAGGTAAGATATATATATAGATACATGTATCTATATATACAAAAATGCATGGCACATGGGCAAGATTCAAGATCCTTAATTAGGAGTATTTTATATAAAATGGGAAATTAATATTATCATAATTAAATTGTCAAATATACAGAAATTGAGGGAAATTATAATCATTTTGAAGTATTGAAAAGGAGTGTGTATTGGGCTTTCGTATTGTTCTTTCTCAAGATAGAATTACAAAGTTGTACATATCAATACAGCCCATGCTATTGTTGGCAAGACCCGTTTAGCTTTCGGCCCAACCTTAACCGACCCGACTTTATATTTTGGGCCCGACTACACATCCGAATATAATATTTCCATAAATAATTAATGGGCAAAATACAGTTTTCACGCCTCAAGTTTTCTCTAATTACACATTTGGTCCCATATGTTCACAAAAAAATATATTTGGTCCCTCATGTTTAAAAAATTCAACACGTTTAGTCATTTTCCGTTAAAATAATGGAATCAAACGTGTTTCCATGACTACCACAACTGACGGACTAACCATATGTATTTATTGTGAACATGGGGGAACAAATGTGAAATTAGAGAAAACTTGAGATGTGAAACTTGTGAATTTCCCAATATTTAATTATCCAAACTAAATATTAATTATGTAAAAGAAAAGGACCAAAACCTAATACAGATAAAAACTAAAATGGTCCTAACTGATGTAGTAAAAGACATGGAAAATGACCAACTAGTTGAAATTGAAATAAATGAATGGCTATTTATACACCAACTCAATAGTGTATACCACCATATATTCTTAAAGAACACACACACACACACACACACACACACACACACACACACACACTAGTGAAGAAATATGAATCATGAGTACAAGGGATCAGATGATGAGAGGAGATGGTGTTATAATCATCCAAAAGAGTTGGTTGTAGGAATATGTGCATTGTGCTTGAATGAAAGACTCTTGCTTCTTCTATCTTCTTCTTCTTCTTCCAAGTTTGCCCATCTTCACAAAACACGCAAGCATTGTCGTCTCGCTCTAGCTAACATCTTTGCCCTTACAACTTTGCTCGATCGTCTCCACTTTAAACACCGTAAATCCGATCGCTATTGTTGCCACACTTCATCAACTACTCCCGGAGGTAATTAATAATAAATATCTCTATTCTTTTCAAGATTGCATATAATTAGTACGAGGATAAGATGTATGAATCCATCTAATTATATTTTACATAATCATTTCATTTATCTAGCTTAATTAATTATTTTATGTGGTCCCTTTTCAATTATTACTAATGAAAGTATGGGCAAAAATATGATTGCAGACTCATTCATATCAATAAAGTTTGAAGACAATGGTGTTGCCACATGGGACAAGGACAAAAAATCGAAAATGCCACATCACCATCACCATCACCAGCAGCAGCAGCAAGACAAGAAGATCAAGGCTAGTAGCGTGGTGCCCGATAACTCAAAACCACGAGCTGCGCTGAGGTGGCGGAAGGGGATTGGCCAAGTCTTCCAGCTCATCAGCTGGAAGAGGTCCAGCAAAGGCAATATGTGCCATGTGGGCACAAAGCCTATTAGAAGGACCAAAGCTTAAAATTGTGGGTGGATAAGGACCCCAAATTAAAAGGGCTCTTTTTCTATACAGAAAAGGAACCCTTGATGCTTTATTTTTTATTTTTTAATTAAAAAAAAAAAAAGCCATGTTCTTGAAATATTCATCTGTGCACAAAGGCATTGTCATTTGTAAGCCACGTAATTAACTTAATTATAAAAGCCATGTTATTTCTGCAAAGTAATAAAATGGACAAAAACCCAACATTAGGTGCTCCACTCAAGGAAACATAAACAGCAGCACACATATTCTTCTAGATCAATCTTGTCCTCTAGCTGTCTTTTTTTTCCTCCCCATAATTTTTTTTTAAATTATAAAAAAATTAAAATAGAGAGTAGTTTATATTGATATAATTACTTAATTGAGTTAAAACCCAAATTTTCAATATAGATTGGCAACAATATAATTATTAAATAAAAAAATAAAAAAAATTGCACTTTAATCCCCACAAGAGCAAAATGGGGTGCATGTGCAAAGGTTTATAATTAAATTGCATTTTATAGTAAAATCATTTTCAATTGAAACAGAGAAGTTTAATATAGGGCCATGTGTCTCCTTTCTTGGATCTTACAACCACTATAATACACACACTACAGGACCACCATACTTCAATGTTTAACCATCTTAAATAATCACAACTCAATTATATATATTAATCATCATACCTAATTCTTATTATGGCTGGTAATTAATTACATAATTAGTATAATGTCATATCATGTCATTTAATAAATAATTTATGATGAGATTGAGAAGTAAACAGGTGCGCAGGTGCAGTTCATTACTAGTTACAATTTACAAAAGACAGACTCTTTTGAAAGCTTAAGTCAAAATAACTTTTGTTAAGGCACATTGTTTTGTCACGGTACATTGCATGCAGATTTATATAGTCAAATAATAATAATAAAAATAACAACAAAGGGTGCTTTTAAGTAATAATTGTAAGAAATGTTTGGAGCAAAAACAAGTGGACCCTTTGGATAAAGATTAGGGTTCATCTCTTTCCACCTTTTTTCTTTTATTTTCCATGCATCACATGCTTTGATTCTGCACCATTTAATCTATCTTTTTTTTTTAACCCTGGGATAACTCCAAATACAAGTTTTCATTGGTTATAATAAATAAATAAAAAACAGAGAAAAAAGAAGAAAATTACAATATATAGAAATCATTAATGATCTTGAAATTTCAAAATATATATTCTTTTTTTTTTTTTTTTTGAAATATATATATTAACAAAAATATAAAATGGAAATTTGATTGATGAATTTCACTTCTCAAGAGAAATTATCGATCTTGAAATTTCAAAATATATATTCTATCTTTTTTTTAATTATGAAATATATATTTACAAGGGTAAATATCAATTACCCCTGAGGCATGGTCAATTTACGAAAAAACCCCTCTTGTTTGGATAATACCCCTCAACTATGATTTTTTCTTACACATCCACCCTTATGGTGTCAAATTAAACATAAGCATCTAGATTTCGTGGAATGTGCTTTAGTTTGTACTTGTTTTGTGTAAAAATACAATTTGTGATGCAACACAATCTGAAATATATACAAGCCAAAAAACAAATATTATGATCATCTTGCTTCAAAATGTGGAGTTTGAATGTGATTAAACAGGAACAAAAATGATAATATTCTATATAATCTCGAAGATTCCACTAAATTTGAAACGGCAAGAGTGAACGTATAAGAAGATTTATAGTTGATGGGTGATTTTCGTAATTTGGCAATACACGAGGGGTGGTTGTAATTTACCCATATTTACAAAAATAAATAAATGTGGTAAAAGGGGAATTTCTTTTATAAAGATTGGCCTGTCAATTCACTTCTGACTTCATTAACCGTTAATCTTTACTTACAGAAATATAATAGGAAGCTTTAAAAAGGATTATTATCTTTTTAATTAAAGTCAAAATGGAACAGAAATCAAATCAAAATTCAAAGTAAATCGATTGTTCAGAGTAAAAACCCTCACTCGCTCTAAAAACTCGAACTCAGTGGAGACGATGACGGACTCAAAGGTGGAAACGATAGCTAGATTAGCCCAGTGGAAAATCGACAGTTTCGGACCCACCACTCCTTACAGAAGATCCGACCCGTTTAAAATCGGCATATGGAATTGGTATCCAATTCAATCGATTTTCTCATGTTTTTCTGCTTCTTTTTTTTTTTTTTTTTTTTTTTTTTTTTTTAATTGTGTGTGAATTGTGATTGCTGATTTTCGTGGAAAATTTAGGCATTTATCGGTGGAGAAGAGCCGATCCGTATACATTCGGCTTTTCCCCGAGCCGTCGCGGGTTTCCAAAGAGCAGCCGCCGGTTGCCCGGTTCGTCATACGTGTCACCACCGCCGGCTCTAATCGCAGACCCTACATCTCCCCCAGTATGTTCCATTTTTTTTTTTTTAACCTTTTCCCTATTTCTTATGTATGTGTTTGGGTGTGCTGATAAAAGGTGAATCGAAAGTTGAATCTTTTGAAATTGTTCTTGTATTGTTGAAGCATCTTTGTTAGAAATTTTATCTACCTGCTGCAATCTGTGTAAAAACTTGAAATAGTTAATGTAAATTGGTAGCGAATGATTTCTCTTCTGATTAGAATTAGTTAGTGTGAGTTGAAATTCTTACCACATAAGCTGCTCCAAAGAAAAAAAATCATTAGCAGCACTGCCATTTACTACTAATTCGACATAAAGGAAATATCAAGATACTTCATCGAATCGTGTGATGAATAGAATCTACGTATCCTCTTGAACTAAAGTATTAGATAAAATTTAGATAAATTCTTGATCTCGCGTACTAGATTTAGTAGGTTTATATACAGAATGTCAATTATGACAAAGAGAAGGCGTTTTCTTCTCTTATCTTAAGTAAATAAAAGAAAAGAAAAAATGAATTTGAACTGACGAGAACCCCGTGATTTGTTATCATGGTTAAGTTTTTCTCAAGCGAATTGTCGAGAGAAACATTTCTATTATGTACTTTTCTTGCATCCATGGTGTTGTCGACACTGGAATGTCTTCTATTTTGGACAGTTTACACTTCTGATATTTATTGAAATAATCGAATAATTACTTCTTGGCTGGGTGCATCACTTTGAAAAACATATGGTAGCTTTTACACTTTAGATATTGTAGCTCCTTCTTATGAAAAAAATATACACAGTTGATATATATTGTTGCTCTGTGCTGCAGTTCATGAGAGGCTACTTCGTACAAGTGACGACTTTGCTTGTCCTATTGACATAAATTGCCAAGGCCGATTCATCATTGACGTTGAGTTTCTCGACCTCAAGATCTGCCCTCTCAATGTAAGATTCTTTGAAGTATCTTTTGAGTTCTTGAAATTTCGACTCTTAATTACTTTTAAAAAAATCTCAGGGTGGAGAGGGCAGTTCAATATGGCCAAGTGATGAGACGATGCAAAACCTAGCAACTCAAAGCACATTCAAATGCCTATCCCGAATGCTAAACGAGTCAATTCACGCTGACATCACCATCAACACGACCGACGGAAAACTAAAAGCCCACAAAGCAATTCTCTCCGCAAGCTCTCCCGTTTTCGACAGTATGTTCACCCACGACCTAAAAGAGAAGGAATCTTCAACAATCGACATAGAAGACATGACATGCGAATCTTGCATGGCACTCCTCAGTTACTTGTACGGTACTATGAGATCAGAAGATTTTTGGAAGCACCGGTTGGCATTATTGGGTGCTGCGAACAAGTATGCCATTGTGGACTTGAAAGATGCTTGTGAGGAGAGTCTTCTAGAAGATATCAACACGGGGAATGTTCTGGAAAGATTGCAAGAGGCTTGGATTTTTCAGCTTGGGAAATTGAAGAAAGGGTGTTTGGTGTATTTGCTCGATTTCGGAAAGATTTATGATGTTAGAGAAGAAATGAATGATTTCTTCAGAAAGGCTGATAGGGAACTTGTGGTGGAGATGTTCCAGGAGCTGCTTGCTGTTTGGAAACCAACTTGACTATAATCCTTTAATTTTATTTTTTCTAAACATTGTTTCGTTTTGAAGAGATAAATTTTACAAGGGCAAAAACGTAAATATAATAGTAGACCGTGCTTCAAGATTATTGTCAATAGAATGAACAACAGAGCAAAGTATGGGAGTGTCGTTTTCGTGTGATAACGTTTTAGTCGTTGTATGTTTAAAGCTAGGAGCGTGAAATGTTAATTCCAATTTCTTTCCGAAAAAAAAATCAATTACAGTCTAAAAGAAAATCGGAATTCGAAATGATATTGTTCGAAAAATTGGAAAATTTTGGATTGAAATCGTCGGAATTCAATAATTTTGTTTCGATTTTAGTTCTCTTTTTTTCGCAAGCTAGAATAAATTGCTATGTAATATGTGAATGATGTAAGTTTATTAGCAAAACCCCCCCTTATAATGCAGTTTTCTAGCACATAACTCCCTAAAGTGAACTTTTAGGGGTAGTTTGCTTAAACAAATTGGGTCATAGGGGGATTTTTGCTAATGTAATAATGCGAGGAGCTTTTTAGCAATTAGAGAAAATACAGGGGTGTTAAATGCAATAAACCCATAAAATATGTCAAAATAAATGTTTGGCCGGAATTTTCTATTTAATTAATATTTTAATTAAAAGGGGAGTAAAATTAATCGAGAGAGATCTCTGTAAAAGGCTAGAAACCTCCACAACTAAAACCTCGTCTTCATGTATATATAAATCTTCGTTTATAACAGCTGATTACTTCATTTCTTACGACAAAGAAAACAAAAGTAAGAAGAGAAAATTGTTGATCAAAGAAATATGTTTTTCTTTTTTGTGGGAGGATTAGAGCAGCAGGCTAGGCAGGTGCTCAAGAGCGGCGCCGGGAGGTGCATAGCGTGCGGATCACGCGCCGATCTGGTCGAGTACGACAAAGTGCTGAAGCTATTCTTCGTGCCGGTATGGCGTTGGCCGGGAAAGCAGCCGCTGATGCACTGTAACAATTGCAACCTCTTCTTCCCTCAGTCGCCGGAGAAGGAGGCGGCGTTGAGGTGTCAGTTCTGTGCTCGTGAGGTGGACCCCGCCTTCAGATTCTGCCCCTTCTGTGGATCGAACCTGTGAATGTCAAAGTTAGGGTTTTTTTGTTTGTTTAATTTGGGGTAAATTTAGGGATTAGGGATTTGGGCTTTTTCTTTGTAATAATAATAATTCAGAAATATTGTCCAGCCCATAATCTACTGGAAGTTTCATTACAAAAATAATCTGCCATTGTCAGAAAAATTCGGCCCATAAATTGTACAGTTCTTAAAATTCCCAACTTGTAAATAAAAACATAATTCTCTACGAGTAGTACGAGGTAACGAGATAAGAAAACCACGTCCCACTGTGTTGAAATTTGCTCTCACCACTCTGCCCCGTACAGAGAAAATTCTCGAAGAACATGGCGAGGGAAAGCGCCGGCGCCGGCGCCGGCGGTGGCGGCAGAAGCAAGAAAGATGGCAAGGCGGGGGCATTTTTCGCTGCAACTTTAGTGATGTGGGGCATCTCGATTTTATTCGAAATTATCTTCAACAAACGGTCTGAGCTGATTCCAATCCTCGTTGGATCCGTTTTCTTCCAATTGGCTAACGCCGCCGTCAGGAAATTTGTGTCACGTGATCCTCTCTTCGTCAACACGTGCGTCTCCCTCCTCCACTCCTCCATCATCTCCGCTTCCGGTCAGCTTCAAATTCCACCTATTGAACAAGAATTTTTTTAAATATTTTATCTACAAATTAATTTTCCATTTTCCTTCTTTGCAACTTGCAATCGAACTCAATTTCGCCTGGCTGAACTTCACATTTGTGGTTATAGTGATGACGTAGTAGAAATCTCAAAAACCCTAAAAATCACATTTTTTACCTTTTGAGTAAATTCTTCGAATTTTGTTGGTCTTGTCTGAAACAAGTTTGGGTGTGCGTTGCAGTGGTAATAATATTACTAAATCAGTGGATGAAAAGTGGTGTCGAGAAGATGTTTGAACACTCGCAATTGGTTGAGGGTACATGGACACGGGCATACGAAGCGCTTTGCTTATCGAGCGGTTACTTTGCATACGATCAGTTTGATATGTTGGTCTATCGGTTGTACACCGGTTCGATCCCGTCAATCCTTGTTCATCACTTAGTACTCCTAGTTTGCTTTACGCTCGCGTTATATCGCAAAGTCACCATCAACTATCTTATCCTCACTCTCATCTGCGAGGTAATGAAATTTATCGATTCATATCGGGTTAAATATTATTACATTAAATGATATCATGGGATTTCTTGTCCTTTTTTCTTCGTGAATGCAGCTGCATTCGATCTTTTTGCATGTAAGAAAAATTCGGCGAATGGCTGGTCTGCGTGACTCGGGAAGCATGATTGTGAAGGCGGAATGGGGTCTTAACTGGTTGACATTTGTGTTTGCAAGATCTGTGCCGCACGTTCTTATTACGGTGAAGCTTGTGAGAGATGCTTCCAAGTTCGACAAGGGTGTCGAGCTGCCACTTGCTCTTTCAGGAATGGCTGGAATGAATTTGTTAAACATCTTCCTCGGAATTGATCTCTTTAATGCTTACAAGAAGGAGACAAAATCTCGAAAAGACCATCGTCACGAATGAAATATTATAATTTTCTTTGAATCTTTTGTTGAATGCGTAGTTGAAGATTGCATTCCTTATGTAACACAGGATATATATGATGTCGTAAATCAGAAGGAAAAAAAAACGAGATTTCAGTGAAAAAAAACATCGATTCCATATGTAAAAATATCGAACAATGCAGAATTTAATCAACAATACACATTAGCTATTCCGGTTTTCTACGACAAAGCCCTGCACTAATCTCGACTGTTTTCGATTTCCCTCACACTCTTACTCCTAGAGAAAAATTTCCCGAAACTGCTCCGATTCTTGCCAGTTGTTATATGGTTGGTTGACAATGGTGACAAAGACAAATCCTCGTTTCCGTTTGTAAGAAGACTATAATTATCTGCTGACATTCTTGGTCGATCCAAATCAGATTTTGGTGTTAGCATGTTTTTAGTAGACAACCCTGGTATATTCGAAGAATCTATCAAGAAATCTTCCAATGTTGCAAGAGATTGAAGCTGTCTTCCAAGCGATGCTATCGTTTTCTGACACTCTGCAAGCTTATCGGCAGCTACAGCTAAATCCTCCTGCAACAACAAAAAAAAAGGGATTCTTGATTTGACAACAATAAGAAAATAAATCAAGAAAACAAAATTTCGAGCAAAGAGCAAACCTGCTTTATTTTCAGTTCACTATTTGAGTTATTGTTATGCTCAATCTCGATTTCTTGGATTGTTCTGGCTAGTTCATTCTCCAATTCTCGACACCTGACTTTCATTTCTGCTGATAACTTTCTCTCTTCCTCGATTTCCGCTTTTAAGGAATCGACGTTTGCGGACATGGTCCTTGCTTCTACTTCCATGTCAACTAGTTGAAACTCAAGCAACTCTTTTGTCTCGTTTACTGCATTCATCTCCTGCTGCAGCTCCTCCAACTTCGTTTCGGTTTCTTCCGACCTAGCCTGTGCATCCTTGAGGGAATCCACGGTACGTTCTAGAATATTCTCAAGTTCTAATTTCTCCGATTCTATCTTCTCTAACCTGTCTTCCAACTCAGCCACTCGCTGAGTCATCGAATCAAGCTCAGTTCTCAATCTATCATCCACAGAAATGGATTCTCCAGAAACCGGAGAGCTGCTCTTAGTTTCAGGCAATGCAACGAGGCGTTCCATTTCAAGAAAATCATCCATCATATCAATTTCAACCGACGGCTTTATAACAACAGTCTTGAATTGATCGAGCTCTGAGAAACTTCGTTCGGACCCATTAATGTCTTTGTCTGAGTGACTATCTGTTAGAGATTCAGGATAAAAGGAGGGTTTCTGATTATTGGACGGAGATGATTTTCGAGATATTGTCTGAAGCTTTCTGCACTCAGACTCGAGCTTAGCAATCTTCTTTATACTCTCGAGCTGTACCTTGCTAGCAGTTTCTGCCGCCCGCGTGCTCAAATCTCTCTCGATTGTCATAATTTCCAACTCCTCATAACAAGAAACGAGGTCTTTTTTTAAGGACGAATTCTCTTTCTTCAAACCTTCAACAATAGAAGCAGAATTTTGAGATCTAGAAGCTTCCACCTGTAATTTGAGATCGAGGATTTGCTTCTCGAGTTCGGATTTAGTGGACTCCCATTCGGTGTTTTTCTCTGACAAAGCATCTGATATTCGTTTCTCTTGCTCGTCTTTTGCTTGCCTTAATTCTCTGACGCATTCTTTGAGGGCCCCATCTAGATGACTGGCTCTTACTTCCAGGTTCAAGTTTTGCTGAACCGCAACTTCGAGCTGCTGCTTTAATGCAGCCACTTCGTTTTCTGCCTTTTCCCAGCCTGATAATATCAAACTCAAACTCGGTTAAAAGATTGCATACAGAAGTGTTTATTTACGAGTATTTAACAATTTTAGTGAAGAAGTGACAATAGAATTTACCAGCTACAGCTTCTTCAGCAACTTTAGCATGCTGCTTAACTAGGTCTTCTTTGGCGCTGACATTTACGAGAGCGGCTGATAGCTTTTCTGTTAGACTTTTCACGCTTTCCTTCACTTGTTCGGTTATTGTGGATTTTGAAGTTACTTCTGGTGATTGTTGACTGTCGTTCGGAGATTCTCTCAGTGCTTCCTGCACACAGAGAAATGTAAGAAAATAATTGGAGGTGGTTTTTGAAGACAATGCATATGAAACCAACACATTTAAATTCAACTGCACCCGTTAAACAGAACCAAAACGCCCACAATTACCGGATAAGGAGAAAAAAGTTACATACAAAATCGAGTTCGAGGGTTAAAATAGGAATAACACAACTTTGAAATCAACTCAAGCCACCGAAGCAAAAAATAGTGGCCAAGAAACAAGTCGAAACTAGTTGAGGTTAAAGTTACAAGTCGATGAATATTTTCACGAACTAATTGAAAGTAACGAAAGACAAAGATGAAGAAAAATAACACTTAAATCGAATTAGGGCCACGAGATCGAGTCGGATATATTACGTACCTGTTCATCAGAGTATCTCTCGGAATGTGAAGAAAATGAACCAGAGCTTTCACTTTCACCGGGGCTCCTCTCGGAAGATCTTCTCTTCCACAGCCATTTCCTCTTGTCCATCCTGTTTAATTACCAATTTCAATCACTGATAGGTAAAGATGTAAATATTCCAGCAACATTCAGACAAAACAACCAATTACTTAAAATCCTTAAAATCAAAATTGGAATTGTTAATTTCTGCAACTTCTAATTCCAATCCAACCCACTAAAATTGAACCCTTCAGAGTTCAGACCCATCAATTTTTCAGTAGGCAAACAACTAGCACAATTCTAAATCAAATCTACAAAAACAACATAAGGCGGCGAAACCAAATCATTTAGGGCAACCAAAAAAAAAAAAAAAAGAATGTAAGATGAATGGAACAGTGATTATCAACGCAAGTATCACCTGTGAAGAAGAATGAAGAAAATCTAAAGTTTCTTTCTTGGAAGCAACCAATCAACAAAAAACCCTCACTTTCTTTCTCAGCAGCAAGTGCGGAGATTGCTTCTCATCTGGGTTATCATATTTTCAAATAAAAAATGAATCTTGGCCAAGATCTGAGGACTGCCCGGTAAAATTTTCGGACAACCCACAAATTCGCAGCAAAGACTAGATTTTTTATTTTTTTTATTTTTTTTAATTTTTAAATGGTGGAGGAGCAGAGCATGTGATGGTGGTGAGTGTGTATATGGTGTTTTCAAAGTGAAGAATGAGACCACTTTTCAGCTTTTCAATGAAATTAAAATAATTTTAATTTAATTTAAATATTTTTGAAAATTGGGATTCATTTAATTTTGAAGTTAAGGTGGTCTTGTTCCCGCCCATCAATAAGTAACGCCCTACTGCGCTCTCTTCTTATCCACATCATTTTCTTATTGGTTGGTTCTACTTTTTACAAGTTCAATTAATTATTAATATTAAATACAATATTTTGAATTATAATTTTTTTTTAATCTTGTGTCATTTATTTTACATTTTTTATGAATCATTAATTTTACTTAATATATCATATATGCTCTCTTTGAATTATAAACAAAAAAAAATTATATTTTAAATTAATAAAGATACAATGGATTGAATGGTGTTTCATTGGTTGTGGTATTTCTTACTTATTTTCAATATTGTAAGAAGAAAAAAAAATTGTTTTGAAAAATATATATATCACTCATGTTCTTAGGTAATAAACAAGAAGACATTAATGACAGGTGGATTTCAATTAAGCTTGGAAGTTGGAACATGCAAGAATGTATTTTTTTTATATATATATACATGTATATATATATTATCGTTTTGAACACGTGTCATTTTTTATATTTATAAAAGGCATGAATTATAAGAAAAAAAATGTAAAATGACTAAAATATCCCTCTTATTAATTGTTTCCCGTATATATTTTTCAATTACTTAAAACCAAGGTTCTAAATATCGACTACCGGGTCCGAGGCGGTTAGGGACCGCCACACGATAAATCGGTGCGGCGGTGATTAATCGGAGTTATATCAGAAATAAATCAACTTTTATATTTAGTGTAATATATTTCTAAATACTTAAACGTATAAAAAAAACTGAATTTGATTCTCTCATCATCGTTCTAAATGTTTTTTTTAGGCCATGTTATTCTTACGCGGTCAGTGAATTTGAATTTGATTGAAAGAGATAATGGGTTGGAATTGAAAAAAAAAATAAACACCCTATTTTCCTTGTAATAAAAATAAATAAATAAATTAGAAAAAAAAATTCAATATATCGTTCGAAGTTTGACCCGATATATAGATTTGACCCGCCAGACTGCCTCACTGTCGAAAAACCGATTTTCAAAACCACCACACATATATCGTAAAGGTTTATGCCCGCCACCGATATATCATCCGCCACAACCGATATTTAGAAAGCTTATAACTAGTAAGAAATATCTTTTTTGAGAAAAAAAGTATAATGAATATATTTAATTGGAATTGTCCAATAAAATTGCCCATAAAACAATTTGAATTACAAAAAAATAATAAATAATTTAGCATAAAAAAAAAAAAAAGCACTTGTCTCTTAGAAAGAAATCAAGAAGTGGAAAAGGGGTTGTCGTGGATGCTCTAAGCACCATCACAATTCCATCCACATCACTCCCATTTGTGTGACTCTAATTAGTTTCTACCAAATCATATCAATCGAACTTGCATTGCATATATATACATTGTTAGTGTGTGAGTGACTCACTGAGTGACTGAGCTGAGTGTGTAAACTTCAATTCTCCACAAAACACAATAACAATGGCCGCTCAGACAATGCTGCTGACTGGTAGTAGTAGCCATGTTGTCAAGGGGGAGACAAACACATTGCTTATTCAGAAGCTAAAGCCAATGCCCTTATCTCAATTTCTCTTTCCCCAAAGAACCAATCACTCTTCTTTTTCTTCTTCATCTGCTTCTATTGTTTCTCTTTTCAAACCTAAAACCAAGGCCCCTCCTAAGAAGGTCTTGTCCTTTTTATTTTGTTCCTATTAATTTAATTCATTATATATACATATGTATAATAATTTAAATATTTTTTAATTGTTTTTGACAGGCGGCACCGGTTGTGAAGGAAAAATCAAAGGTCGAAGACGGGATTTTCGGCACATCTGGAGGAATCGGTTTCACTAAGCAAAACGAGCTCTTTGTCGGCCGTGTTGCCATGATTGGTTTTGCGGTCAGTTAATCTTTTAGTGAAATACTCACTTCGTTCTTTTAAATAAGTGTCGTTTTTCATCTTGGCACGAGTCTTAAGAATCTCAATAAATATGTCTTGATTTTAGGAAAATAGATACCCTTATTTACTAATTAATACTGAAAGAGTGTTGGAGAATTAATAAGGGTATAATTGAAAAATATGTAATTAATGTATCATTGAAATTGTAAACTGACACATAATATGGAACAAAAAAATTTCTTAAAAGAGACCGATATTATGGAACAGAGAGAGTATATCATTTAAAAAATATTAATATCTCCAATAATTGACGTATCAATTAATATTTTATAATTGTGTATGTAGGCATCTCTATTGGGAGAAGCGTTAACCGGAAAAGGAATCCTAGCTCAACTAAACCTAGAAACCGGGATTCCGATTTACGAAGCAGAGCCACTACTACTATTCTTCATACTTTTCACCCTACTCGGAGCCATCGGAGCTTTAGGAGACCGTGGACGCTTTGTGGACGAAGAACCCGCCGGGCTTGGAAAAGCCGTTATTGCCCCTGGTAAAGGTTTCAGGGCTGCTTTAGGCCTTGGAGAAGGAGGTAATTTCATATATATATTTTCCTCATTTAGTTATTAATATTTTATTTTACAAAAAAAAAGGGGTTTTTAATATGCATGAATATTGGTGAAAACAGGGCCGTTGTTAGGATTTACGAAATCGAACGAGCTGTTTGTCGGAAGATTGGCTCAACTCGGGATTGCTTTTTCCATAATTGGGGAAATTATTACCGGGAAGGGAGGGTTAGCGCAGTTGAACATCGAGACAGGTGTCCCGATCAATGAACTCGAACCACTTTTGTTGTTCAACGTTGCCTTCTTCTTCTTTGCTGCCATTAATCCCGGGTCTGGTAAGTTCGTTACCGATGACGAAGATTAGATGTAATGTGTGTGTATATGTAAGTATTTGATTTTTTTTTTAATTTCTGTTTTTCTAGTTATGTATTTGTATGAAACTACTTTTGAGTGATTTGTTAGTGGATGATGAAATATTTATCTCGTTAATTATTAATTTATGAATAACAATCTTCAATTATGAATTCCTAAATTGATAAATCAAAGTTGGTGTAAAGTATATCTTGTGACAATTTATCACCAAGAAAGTCTTTTCATATTTATTACAGGTTTATTGTAATTAGTAAAGTTGTGTTATATGAATAGCTAAAGAACTTCTATATCTTATTTTATTGGCAAATTATCTTTATGGTTCAATTTGCTTTACCACATAAACACTATAAAAAGAAAAATAGAGTAATATTTCAGTAATTCAATATGACACAAGAGTACTAGTTGCACTAAATGGGAAAAATACATTTTTCGTCCCTTAAATGTACCTCCATTTCATATTTGGTCCACGTTGTTAAAAAAAAACACATTTAGTTATTCGTGTTTAAAAAGTCTGAGACTTTTGGTCATTTTCATGAATTCTCCGTTAGTATTAATGGAATCAAACGTGGACCAAATTGATGGAAAAAATTAAAAGTATTAACTTGTTGAAAAAAGGACCAAATGTATCTTCTGTGAATAAAAGGGGATGAATTTGAAATCGAGTTAAACTCGATGGACTAAAAGTGTAATTAACCCTCCAATAAACTCTATTTATTATTAGTCTCTTCTTTTGATATGTATACAGAAAAAATATTGCATGACATTAATTGACATAGAACATATCGAAATTGACCAACTGCATGACATCAGCTTTATGAAATAATTCATTAACGTGACATATTAGGATCCTCTGTTTTACACCACGTGTTTATATTCCTCCTTCTCTACACCCCCACCCCCACCCCCAACCCCACCCCCACCCCTCCTCGAATATCTTCTCCATTCTCTTTGTTTCTTCAATCCGTCGTTTCACTTTCTTTCTCCTCATCTCTCTCTCTCTCTCTCACTAGAAATGAGGAATCCTCTGTTTTCTCTCACTACAAATCCAACCATTTTATTTATTATCCTCGTTGTTTGCGTGATCATATCAAAATTCTCAACAGCAGCAAAATCTCCCGACCATGATTTTTCATACTTGGACGAATCCACACTCGCAACAACTCCACAACTCAAACCCGGTTCGAAATTCAAGAATCAATCTTATACATCGGGGCAGATCAAATCCTTATTAGTCCCGAATTTCGATAAAGACTGCACCTTTTGGAACAGGGATTGCTCGGAAGAAATCATGAGAATTGCGAAAAGCCCAGAAAACATAAAATGGATAAAATCGGTTCGAAGGAGAATCCATGAAAACCCGGAATTAGCATTTGAGGAAGTCCAAACAAGCCGGCTTATTCGCCGGGAATTGGATGAACTCGGGATAAGATACCTATTCCCATTGGCCAAAACCGGGATTAGAGCTTTGCTCGGAACTGGGAATCCGCCGTTTGTGGCTATCCGGGCTGACATGGACGCCTTGCCAATTCAGGTTTTTATTTTTTATTAATTATTTTTAATTGGAATTAATTATTATAAAATATTGAAATTACCTGATTCTTTATTCTTGGTTCTTTCTGTGTTGCACGTTGTTAATTATGTAAAATAAGACTTGTTTCGTTGTGGGGGGACCATAAGTAACAGGTGGTGATTTTGCCTTTGCTCCTAATTCTTAATTTAAACCATGATTTATATTCATACATTTTATGCTGATTTGGCTTATTAGAATACTAAATTGGAAAACAAATGAATTAAATATGCTTGAGATTTGATCTATAGAAATATTTTTTAACACACACACACACACACAGGAAGGTGTTGAATGGGAGCACAAAAGCAAGAACGCAGGCAAAATGCACGCGTGTGGACACGACGCGCATGTCGCTATGCTCGTTGGAGCAGCCAAGATTCTTAAGGCGCGCGAAAAACACTTGAAGGTTCATTTCGTTTCAAGTATTTATTTCTCTTAATTAGTGCTTTTTGAGTTAATTAATTAATACATGTGTACGCTACTTTAGAATCGCTAATGTTC